CTGTGCTTAAGTTCCTAGAAACTAAAGTAAAAAGCAGGGGTTAGCCAATACGCTTTGACCTTCTTCAGCAGCAGAGCAGGAAGAAAGCCAAATGATTGGGGGAAGAAGTCCAGTTAAGGCCTGTGTGAGTGCCAGACCCAAAACAACTCAGGGAAGATGGGCTTTATGTCTTCTCAAAGGTCTAGTTTGTTTTAGTTTGTGACAATATAGACAATATTTATAGTGGATTCACTAACGCAAGGTCACGTTGAAGTCTTTTCCCCACAATAAAACCACAATTTTAATGATGCATTGAGCAGTGTCCGCCAGCAGTTCTGTGCCAGGCCAGAGCTGCTAAACTGCTTTGTAAATGGACCGACGCCAGTCCAGACTCACGATTGTGTGTCACTGTGTGTGCACGAGGGTGTTTGTCAGACAGTAAGTGCGTGACTGGGAAACTACGCAGTAAAGCATGGACCTGTTAGATTTAACATCCACTCCAAATTGCTGTGAAGTCTTTGGCTAAGTAATCTCTTAATTCAGTGACTCACTGTCTAGTAACAAAGAGACAGTGAAATGGTCAATCATCCTTTTTACATAATGTTGGCATCTGAAGCCTGATCTTGCTCCAGCTGTTTAGCTTTGCCCCTTTATTTAAAAAAAACACTCTTCCTCTAACTTTCTGTGTGCTCTAATCAGACCTCTGTTTTCTTTTTCAATCACATTCCATTTCCTTACCCTAGTTTCATTTTGAATAGGGCGTAGAATCTCTCCAGTATCTTTGATTCCAGTCTCACATTCTTTTGTCGTTCAGCAAACAAAAAGCACTTTTGGTTTTAGAGAAAAGAGATCCATCTATTAGGCCATAATTCTGCCCTTATAGCGAGGAGAGTCCACATTTAACAGTATTAGTTATGTGCCTGACTTATATTTTTACTAAATCCAGGCAAGACCATAGAATGATCCCGTGGTGTTGTTGGGCAAGTCCAAACCTGTGCTGTGAGAAGTCCTTTGTTCACCATACCTATCAGCAGTTCTCATCAGAACCATACTCCTTTTCCTGGTTATCAGTGTATCCCAGCGTGCTGTTGTAAGCTACAAATTAGACATACTGGAGCTCTTCCCGGATTGAAAAAGACTGAACAAAGTTCCTTGTAACATCAAAGCTGCAGTAATGTTGTTGCTACTGGTGAGCAAAACGAAGAACCCCGCTAGACACATTATAACTAAGGAGCTCAGTTATTTCCTATATTTTATTATTCTGCTCACTATCTTTTTTAGGGTTTCATTTCAATTGAATAGTTGAACTTTTCTGCTTTTTGTCACTTTGTGGCACGTGTCTAAATGTTTAACTTAATTTGCATAGGTGCATACGTCATTTTGGAGAATCCAGAAAGAATTCTCCGAAATATTTCACTAATCTAAGTAACTAGAGGTGCTAGTAGAGCCTGTTGCTAAGACTTGACTGAATTACTCCCAAAGCCAGCTTACATGTAACCCCGTTGTCTGTATACTGTAGGTATCTGGTGAATTGTTTCCTTCCTGTGTAATCCCTGTGTTTATTTGGCCCGGTGCAGGGTGCCTTTATAAATAGCCTCTCAACAGCCCGAATTGTCAACAGCATGTGGTATTTTTAGTGGGGTATTAGGTGTTTGGTGACCCAGGAGGATTTGGTGCGCAGGTTTATCTGCCTTGATGTGATTTGAGATGATCAGTCTGGAAAATGACCCTGCAAATCTCCGCACAGGTAAGATCAGCCTTTTTCCACTGCACGCGTGCCAGTTGCCAGGACAGGCGGTTGTGGGTTGTATTTCCATGTGTGTTTGGTTGTGTTGGATGTGCTTGTGCGCTTTCTGTGGCCTGTTCTCACCCATAAATCCAAGTCTATATACACAGGAAACTGTTACCACCAAACTAAACAGCGCATAGTATTATCCACTAGATGTATGAAATGTTAAGATTAGTTTGTTAGACTGTGTCTGCGTTGCCTGGCAGTAGGACGGGCTATGCTTGTTGTTAGATTGCACTTAACATTCCCTTCCAATGCCTCCATATCTTTCATCTGTTTTACATCTATATTCACTCAGCACCTTCATATTAGCTTCCTCCTAATCTAATATCTATGGCCTTACAAGGACAAAAACAAAAGACAGACCTACCTCTCCTCTCCCACCCTTCCTTCCTGCCACCCACCCTCCGTAAAAGCCATCTCTCCCTTCATTGGTCCTACTGGTTTAAACATCAGAGCTGGCAGGGCGTTTTCTAAACTGAAGGACTGAAAATTGTGCCAGATGCTTAAGTAGCCAGTCCCACTTATACACGCATTGTACTGACGTGCGGACAAATTAAAGTTATCGCTTTGACATTTTAATTCTTTCTTCTTTTTTTTTTTGTTTGAGGATTTGTTCTTAAGCGTCTTTTAATTTCGATTAGTCCCAGGTAGGGTAGGAGTTTTGTGTAACAGTCTCATTGAGCATAAGCTTAATTCAGCTTCAAGTTATGAGATGTTGTGTCATTTCTGACCACACAGAGGACTCGCTCGTCTATGTCATGTACTTGTTTCAATGCTTCGGGCTGCAGATTATCAATAACTATCGGTGTGCCAGTTCCATTAAGCTCTTCTATGTTTGGCATGTGAGGCACACAAACACACACACATGACCTACAATATTTTTAGTCACTTAACACCAATTCCTACTTCCATTCTTTCCTTTGGCCTAATAAAGCACATGAGTGTTCGGAGTCTCTGCTGGGTTATGTTGATGGATAAAGATACAGATGAGCATTGCTGAGCTGATCTCTCTTGTTTATCACAGCGAGCGTGTTAACACAGCTGTCTGAATGTCCGTGTTCGGAGCAGAAGGGGGGGAAATGACAGAGTTTTTAACAACAGTTCTGCTTCTTTGATCTAATTTGTTCAGCAGATTGTCCACCAGCACCCAGTCATTTCAGGGGGCCTTCTTTTAACAGCACGTATACTGTGCTCTTTGGGAAGGTATGGACTTGATTCCATCCTGCTGTAACCAACTCGTTTCTCAGTCTGTGATTGTTACGGACACGTGCTTCAGCAGAGCTGTGCTGTGTGTGTGAGCTGTGTGTGTGAGCTGTGTGTGTGAGCTGTGTGTGAGCTGTGTGTGCTCCACTTCTTTCAAGGTCATGCCAATAATTTCCCTCATGGTGTATAATTTCCCTCTGTGCACTTATTAATCAGTATCCAGATTTGGCTGCAGCTTCCCATCTAGCATTTGTTCAATTGTCTTACATACACCTTTAAAATTGTTACAGCAAAAGAAAAATTCCGGATGTCGTTTCATTTTTCCTACTGAAATGCATTCTCAAAGCTTTTACAGTGTTACAAATAACACGTGTCACAATTCTTGTGTGGTGGGTATGAATTTGCTTCAAAATGTCTGTTCTGCTCTAAATAATATCTACAGCCTTTTTACCTAATTTGAAATTGATATTTAAAAGCAGCCTCTTTGATGTTTTTGTGGTGTAATCCTGAATTTGGAAGCCTTGCCAGTTCTATTATTTCAAGCTTTTTCTGATTTATAATTAGCTGGCTGTCCCTGTGATAATGTGGATATTGTGTCATGTTTGCAGAGCAATACCAGCAACTGTTATGAAACAAGCATTTATGCAAAACAATCCATTCTGGCTCATTTAATATTACAGACATCTTTATTTTATTTAAAAAAGAGAAGGATTTATCAATGTAACATCTGTTTAGGAGTAAACTGTTTCCACATTGTTGTAGCTCTTTTGCAAATATTTGAAAGCAAGCATTAATGCTTTTCTGTAACATGTTAGCGGTTTTCTTAAAGACGATTCTGCCACGGGTTTTCCAAATAATCTCGGAAATCACGCATGCCAGAATAAAAACGTTTCAGTTTAGAAGGGCTCTAGAAAATGGATGACTCACTATATAGTGGGCTAAAACGGGATTGAGGGGACAATTTAATTGCAGCCCCAAGTGGATCTGCACTACTTACATGTGTGCGACTGTGGTTATTTTTCACTAGTTTTTCATCTCCAATTTTCCTCATATGTGCCAAAAGGCAGGATTAGAGAGATTAGTGCTTACTGTGTGCCCCCGTCCACCAGCCAGTGACTAACCACAGTTTGCAGCAGACATTAGGACATACACAAAATCCCCATGACATGTTTATTGCTATATACATTCGACTATATATAGCATATATGCTCACAAAGCATTATTTGCTTCTGTGAAAACAGAATGTGTTCTCCACCTGCCTTACTAGCATGGAGATGGCAATGAGCGAATGGCTTAATCAGATGTTATTTTGTCTGCTGCCATAATCTGTCAAGAAGGTCTGGGAGGATGCAAGATAAGGATTATAGTTTCCACTCTGGTCAGTGCACACGCTCTCAGTGGTTTCAATCATCAACACTCCCTACATCATCTCAAATCCCACATCCTGGGATTTGAAGGAGTCCTAAACCTGTGTTACTGTTACTGTAAAGTGGTGATCTTACAATCTTTAGAAAAGAGAGCCAATCTAAGGGTAGATGCACTAGTCATTAGTACAGCATAAATGCATGAATGAATGTATTCACTGTGATTAAGCTTACAGTCATTGGGGGGATTTGAAAGTAAAAATGGCTTTGTTTTTGTCTTTGTAAAGATTTGTTCTAAGTAAGAGAACAGTTCTAAGGCCACCTCCTCATACCACCAAAGCTGCTGGTCATTTTGTTCTAATGGTCAGTATGCTTTCTTAGATTTGATGCCTAACTGTGTATCAGCTCTGTTCCCGTTCCTGTCATTATGGGGGAAATGACACTGCTTGTTCTATCAGGTGTTTAAAATCTTGCTTTCACACAAACCGAAACAAATGCTTTCGGTTTTGCCCTCCCTCCCAAGTTTTCATTTCTCCTTTCCTCCCCCCGTTCTCCCAGACCCCCCTTCCTCCGCCCTCGTCTTTGTTTGCTTGCTTCTGAAGCTCGAAGGGTTACCACCCAGCAGTGTGCCTTGACTGCTCGTGATTGGTGGGTGGCTGGTGTTGGGGCGGGCTCATTCTCAGGCTGTTGAGAGCATTACCAGTGGTGAGCCAGCTCTTAGCTGTCAGAAAGCGTTGAGTCTGCAGCGGAGGCACAAGCAGGATATGCCTCTGTTTGTGTTTTGTGCCGCAGCAGCACAGCTTCCAACCTTCATTTTCCGACGACCTTAAAGGGCTCTCTTCTTTTTACCCAGCGTTGGAGCTGCCAAAAGAGGAGCTGATAGGGACTGAATATCGGCTAAAACCGAGCTGTATCTCTCTCTCTCTTCTATTTCCTACTTCCTGTCCTTTGTTTTCAACCAGCAGAATCCCTGACGGCACAGGCAAAACAGATCTCACCAACAGTAACTACACGGTGGGAATTCCGCGTGCAAAGCCTGCAACCTTAACGCAACCCCCAAAGCGACGTGTCAGCGGCGGATCTGCAGTGAGCGAGTGTCCCAGACTGGAGAGGGCCCCCGCCACATCGTGTGCGCGTGTGTTAGGAGGCTAATGCCCGCGGTAGTGTGGCCAGCACCAGAGGAGGATGAGTCCGGCTGTGGAGGCTCAGGCCCAGGAGGCCATGGATGCAGAGCAAAAGCAAAAGCAACAGCAGAACCAGCTGCAGAACCAGCTGCAGCACCAGCCGTGCTACATGGAGAAAGGGGTGATGCTTGAGCCCTTCGTGCACCAGGTCGGCGGACATTCCTGCGTCCTGCGCTTTGGGGAGCAGACCATCTGCAAACCCCTCATTCCCCGCGAACATCAATTCTACAAGAGCCTGCCTTCAGCAATGAGGAAGTTTACCCCCCAGTACAGAGGTACCAAAAACCAATCTTATCTAACCTCAGTAGTGCATGTTGTACTTATAAGCATATCTCCTTCTTTATTCATCTGATCTACATGCTGACTGCATGTCAGATAGGATGGATTTCTAACCCTTTGAGTGTGGGTGCAGTTTGCTGGTCGATTGTACGCTTTGACATCTTTAGGACTCAAAGCTCCCTTCGCCTGCAAACGTGTTGTTTTGATAACCCTGAAAGTGGAGTACTAGATTGTTCCAGAAGAGGGTGCTGTTGGGGCTGTGTGATTGCAACAGTTAGCGCTCCCCAATTGTAATGTTTTAGGAGATAGATCGTGCCACCTCAGGTAAGTAAGCTGAGAAGGCAGACAGCAAGGTAAAAAAAGGAGGCCGGACAAGATTCCTCCAATTCAGGGCAACTGCTGGTGGAGGTCCCTTGGAAAGTGCTATTAAAAGCCTCCAGTTATCCTCAGCTTTGCCCGGAGCCTTTGTAGTGAGATTTGATGGACTGGTTTAACATATTATCTCTTGTTGAGATCGTATCCATACATATGTCAGACATGTCCCCCGAGCTTATCTGGCTTTTGCCCACTGTTTATTGTATTGTCTTTAAATTTTCTCCATTACTCAAATGCTTCATGGGAGACTTCAGTTGTTTGCCTTTTGCAAATGTTGAAAAGTAATTAAGAGCTCATGGAACTGTATATGTTTTGTTTTTTTAAAGATTTATTTTCAGTGTCTTGGCCTTTTTAACAGCTGTCCTCACACAAGGCCATGATGCTGAAAGCAGGTGACTGTTGATGCAATCCAGTTGGGGAAATTGTAAAAATAAACAAATCCTTTGGGAGTTATTAAACTGCTCATCTGAAGGTTTTGATCACATGTAGGTTCATTTGCACTGATGAATCCTCATAGAGTGCATGTTTTTTTCTAATCGTGTGTGCAGTGCTGCCTGCCATGTACGTTTACTGCTGATCATTATGTTGTTTCTTAATAAACAGAATTCTGTCGTAATTTTTGGAGCCTGTTGTGTCTTTTTTGCCTGGGTTGTCATTTGAACACACTGATTGGTTGATCCAGCAACAAGTCTCCTATTCCAATCTCACTGTTAAAAATTGGCTCCTGATCGTTTCTTGACCGAATTTTCCATGAAAACTTTGACTAAAAGATGCTTCTATGTTTTTCTCAGGTGTGGTTTCAGTTAGCTTCGAGGAGGATGAAGAAGGGAATCTTTGCCTTTTCGCCTATCCGCTCCACGGCGACCCCGCGTCAGAAGACCACCCATCAGACTGTGAAGCCAAGATGCTCCAGTGGGGGAAGATGTTGACATCCTCTCTGCTTGTGGACAGCGAAAATTACAGCACAGAAGGCCGAAGCCGGCACTCTCGCAAAGACAAAGACAAGAGGTGAGAATGGAGAAAACAATCCAGCATTCTCATGCTCAGTATATGTACACACCTCTAAGCTTCTTGCTGCATTTTCATACTGGAGAGTCATTGTGTGACTTTTTTTTTTTAAGTTAAAAATATTCAGTGTGTAAAATGGCATTGTTATAGTCTTTGTGCATCTAAGAGGGATCTCTGTGTGTCACCCAGCACCCACAAGCTGCAGGAGGACATGGAGCTGGATTGGCTGCAGCAGGCTGAGGTGTTTCACTGCAGACTGGAGCATACTCACAGTAACGCCGTCCCGCAGCTCAAACACAATCCCTGGAGCCTCAAGTGTCACCAGCAGCACCTGCAGAGGATGAAGGAGAACGCTAAACATAGGAATCAATACAGTATCCTTTACCGACTCATTTTCTAAGATTTCTCCCTCGGTTTCAAGCCCGAGGGCACAGAATGTTTACACGCTGCTGATCCACCTTCAGAACTGTCAGGGGCTTCAGCGTGCACCAGAAACCTGTTTTCTCAGTCAGCTGGAGTTCTGTTTTGCACTGACTTTAAATGAAAATCAGGATCTGGGCATAGTGAGGTTTTGAAGCAGGCCTGCAGGCCGTACATAGTTATGACTTTTGTCCTTGACTCAGTGTTCCAGAATTCATTCTGCTAGAGAACCTGACCTGGAGGCACACTGTGCCATGTGTGTTAGACCTGAAGATGGGCACGAGGCAGCATGGGGACGATGCTTCAGAGGAAAAGAAAGCCATGCAGATCCGCAAGTGCCAGCAGAGCACGTCAGCCTCGATAGGAGTTCGCCTCTGTGGCATGCAGGTGTGTTATGAAGCCAAGTCCACCGCTTTGAGCCCAACTCTGTCTTAAAAGAGGAATAGTTTATATACAGTCTTGGAAAAAGGCTCTCTTTCTCTTAGACCTTTCTTTCATTTTATGTACTGGTTCATCCAGTCTATCTACAATAGCATTGAAAATGAACTAGTGCAACAGAAATCCACCTGCCTGTACCAAAATGTCCCCGTTTTGTGCATCATATCAACGCTAACGACAATTTAAATGCACTTGTTCTTGTGGGGATCTAAAAGGTCTGATATTGGTATCTGACAACCACCAGAAACTTAAACTTAGTATGACCGCTTTGGTAAATTCTCAAAGAAATCTAATATTTGTAATGTAGTTGTATTTATAAGAATTTTCAACCTCTTATTGCAAAACGGCTCATCTGTTCAGGCAAATACATTGTTCTCTTTCAAATATCCTTCAGCTTTTCCATGCTCTCTGTTTCTCGATCGTTCCAGGTGTACCACTCTGACACAGACCAGCTGATGTTCATGAACAAGTACCACGGCCGCAAACTGACCCTCCCGGGCTTCAAAGAGGCGCTGTTCGAGTTCTTCCACAGCGGGCGGCACCTCCGCCACGAGCTGCTGTCCCCAGTGCTGAGCAGGCTCCGGGAGATGCAGGCCGCCCTGGAGGCCTGCGAATCCTACCGCTTCTACTCCAGCTCCCTGCTCATCATCTACGACGGAGCGCCCCACAGAAAACACACGCGGCGACGCGCCGAAGACGGCCACTCGGAGGACGAGGAGGACGACGACGAGGAGGAGGCGGAAGCCGAACCGGAAATGGAGGAGGAAGAGGAAGAGGAGGAGGAGGGCGAAGAGGCCGGCGCGCTGGGCTTCCCCAACAGCCCTTCCTCATCCAGCGACGGCAGCAACATGTGCTCCAGCAGCAACGGCAGCAGCAGCGGCGGGAGCTCAGGCATGGCCCAGTCCCTCCTGACCCAGACAGACCCCCGCAGTCCGGCCGTGGATGTGAGAATGATAGACTTTGCTCACACCACCTGCAGACACTACCGCGAGGACAGCGTGGTCCACGAGGGCCAGGACACCGGCTACATCTTTGGCCTCCAGAACCTGATCACCATCATCTCTGAGCTGGAGAACCACAGCAGTGACCTAAGACTGACCTGAGCGCCGAGGCACAACAGCACAACTTTGGAGGAGCAGACTACACAAACCGGAGAGACTTTTCATCTCAGGTCATCCAAAACCTTGTAGCTTGCCTTTTCACAGGACCCTCTTCCCACTTGTGCCAGTGGTGCTTATCTGACGTTGCCGTCGAGCCGGTCCTTCATTTTGGGGTATCAGAGACATGCCTGCGAGTCACATAGAAGAGCCATCTGTGTGAATGATGATTCACCCTGTGTCATCGTGCTGACCTAACCCGCCTAACCATTACCAAGCAGCCTGGCCCGCGAATAAACCCGTTTGAAATCTGAGACAGTAGAATGTTTTCCTTGTGTATGATTTCCAAAGAAAGTGTCATTTTGCACACACGCACTTGCACAGTGTGTGTTCAGACTGAGACGGAGCTACCTGAGGGAGTTGTGTGAGGAGAGAGACGATGGGAAGAGGGGCGATGAACTCACCATTTTCCTTTTTTTTGCCTGCTCTTCCATCATTCCTTCCCAGCCCTTATCTGTGTCAGAGAGATGGTGTAGAGATGTTTCAGAAAAATGAACTCCAATGAAGACAGAATGTTTATGGAAAGTAGTGCATTCCATCTCGTTGATGTGACTATAATGATATTAAAATTGTTATTTGACATGTTTGCATACCTCTACCTTGTTAATCTGTGTTGTCCGCGGTTTGTTAGAGGGAAATTAAAACCTTGTTTGGTTTGTTGTAACCTCTGTCTCCTGTCACATTTGCTGACGCATGTATCGCAAGTCATCAGGAAGCACGTTAGGGTTTCCTGCCTAAATGAAATTTAAATGTCACAGCAGTCAAATTTGATGTAAATATTCACAACATGGGCCTGTTTCCTGGCTGGGAGAATGAGCCAAACCTCCCCTTTCAGTCGGTGATCAAATATTCAGTAAGGTCTCTACTGATACCTCGGAAAGTATGAGACGGCCCGACATTCGATACGGCAAAGGGTCGGAGGCCCGCTCTCCCCCACCTGCTGTGGAGAAAAAAAAAGACTAAAGCTTATCCAGAGTGAGGACTGAGACTTATAGATAAACCCAGTCATATAAGGGAGTGCTGCTAAGTCACACGATCGTCCACGACTTTGATCCCCTTATTACTCTCTAAGAATTTCTGTTGCGTGGAGACACGGTGGTTGGCTCCGGCAGGAGGTGGCCTCATCCAGTTGTGGTCATCTCCAAACTGGTCTGAGACAGATGGCGAAAAGGCGAGTCATCTGCTCTCAGACTTAGTGTTGAGACAAGCTGTTAGGCGGACTGAGGCTTGTGTCAACAGAGGGCTGGGAGCCTCGCCACTCCTGCGCCCCCCCCACATCGGATCTGCCTAAAGTCAGACACACCTTTATACACCAGGGCACATTTATACACATTTATACACTCATATTTGACATCTTGATGAACAGAGAGTGGTTATTTGTAAGTAAGAAGTGTTAGAAGTTTAGTTCTATTATATGATGCGTGATCAATTGATTTTCACAAAACTGTTCAAAATTAGCATCATATTGTTTAAATTCATGCACTTCCTAGTCACAGGTTTTTTCGGAAGTTTTTGTATGATTTTTCAACCAACATTCTTTTTTTCTCTTTCTGTCGATTATTGAAAGGACCTGAGAAAAATTATCATTTGGATTTTCTTATCATTTGTATTGGCCAGAAACTGGCCAGAAATGATAATCTGTACTAGAAAATGCAACTCCAAATCCCATTGACTGACATGTGCATGCTCTTCAAACACAGTGGGCCGTCCCTGCTAAGTTGATTCACTAATCCTATTGCAGTGTAGGCCAGTACAATGCCAGGTCAAACTCTTGTTGACTGAGCCGACAGACAGTATAATCCTTAAGATTCCAGGTCAGGACGGCGCTGAAAGGAGGCTGCAGACACATATGGGGGATTGTTGTTGTTGTCTTTTATTCTCAGCGCATATAGCCTATACATGAAGGATGCGTGAGGACAAAACAACAGCCTGAGAGGGAGCGTGTAGAAGTAAAGAAAGAACATCATTTCAGACTCGAGGGTTTTTTTTTACATTATTTGGCTGCTAATTTGGAGACATGCGTGTATTGTTACGGGCTGTTTGAGTGCGGTGTTATAAAAGATCAATACGTGAGCGGATGGAGCAGATAAGCTCCTCCATCCCCTCTCCAATGGCATGAGGAGGGGGGGTGTGTAACCAATGTTGCATAACAGCTCAGGGTCAATGGGCTTCTCTCGGCCATCAAAATGATCCAATTCTGTCTCTGGGTTATGCGTGTATGTGTCATGCTTTTTTCTTCCTGTATACGCAAACCACCTTACACTTCCATTTTTTTTTTTAAATCTCTCATCATTGTCTGAGGTGCACATCTCAAATTCCTCCATATCGCACGTGTTCAATTTTTCTTTGTGAGTGTTTCCACTGCATGTGGAGCAATTACATAACGGTGGTTAAAATCGCCATGGCAACAGCAGCCGGGAAGGAAACGGTGTCAGTATTTTGGGGCACTAGTCGCATCCTCGTTCACCACAACATCAATATTCCAGCTCTCCTGACTTCATTCATTTAATCTGAACTGAGCAGATGCATGCCGTGACATGGAGACGTGTTCAGTGCTCCCATTGAAACGCTATATATAACACAATGCACAATGTTAGATGAATCACTGTTCGTATACATATATATATATATATATATATATATATGTATTATTTAAAAGTGGGTGCGTGCAAATGTCACTTCATCCCAAACCTGGAATCTATTCGTTTTCTCAATCTGTGCATCTGCAGAAGAAAGCTCATAGAATTTCTGATAAACCACCCATAAACTCACACACTCTTTCATTAAATTACATCCCCATCGGGAAATGGTTTAAAATTTCACAATTTATTCCCCTCTTTTTAGGAGTCTCAGATTCAGAGGTGTAGCTAGTTGTGTGTGTGACCACGTCTTGTTGCAGTCTGCAGGCCAACTGATAACCCTCGCATGTGATCCTCAGCATAATATGTCTCACTTTGTCCACTCACTACCACTCGAGAATTGCTCCATTGTCCGACGGACGATTTGCTGTAGCAGCATGCAGGCCGTGGCCTCGGGCTGTGAAAAGAGACGGAGGGGAGTGCTCTGAAAGCAGCGAGCACTATGGTCCCCAGGGTTCTGTTCCTGTTGCCTTATCCCAAACACCCCAGAATGTAACACCAAATCCTTTTGTTCAATGTTTGGATCACATAAGTAATAAGTAATATCATTCTCAAATTCTCCAGAAAAAAACAACAACGGCAAATACTTCTATATTTTGCAAACCGGCTTTTGTTCAACTGTTGTGTTTATCTAAATGATAGATAAGCTCAGTGAAGATACTTGAAGTGGGGAGATTCCATCGTTTTTGCCTGAGGTTGTGCCACTAGAAAACCAGGTAGCTGTAGCTGACAAGAAAAGCCAATCAGAATCAGTGATCCTCAGTTTCATCGGAACATGTTGAGGGACTTCTGAAGCGTTCAGCACACACTCAGTGTGTGTGTGTGTGCCCATGGCATTTTATGGTCGGAGAAAAATGTGAGCTAAATTATTTGATAGGATTTTGCTGACTTGTAAGGGGTACTTAGTGTGGTCAACTGTACTTGACAAGCACCATATAGATGTAGTAAATATAATGTAGTCATTTATATACATGACTAAATCAATTTTTGTAGTCACAAAAGTTAAATTTGTACCCGTTCTTTAGTTAGGTTGCTCATGGCCTTTTCAATTTTTCCTTATTAGTTTCATCATCATGGAGTTTCACTTGTCTGATCTTGTATTTTACAACAGTGATGGTTTGTTGGGATTTTTTTTGTACTTTTACCCTCTTCTGATGTGAGGTGTTTGCAAATGCTTGCTTACATAACTCCTACCCCCCTGAAGCACAGTGCTGCATTGGTAATTTCAGTTTATCCACTGCATTCATTTCACCAAAACCCTGGATTGCCAGCTTAATCCGTTCCTACCGCTCATGATGCAGATGTGGGTTTTGTGGGTTTTTTAAACATAATATCTGCGATGTGGCCAAAAGACATTGTGCAGCTGAGCCCGATCTTATTAGGTATCGGACAATGATTTTGTCATTAAAAACAGATGGAAGTTTATTGATATATAGGATATATATAGGAAAACATCCATCTTGAAACAAGATAGGCGTTTGGTCTTTGATGTCAATACCTGGGGCAAAAGTTAAGATATGTCGCTTTGGAAAGGACTATCCCCTACTGTATGTGGACATGGTAAATATTGGCTGGAAATATTTGTATCTATAAATACAGCAGGGTCCTTTGATAGACTGGCGACCTGTCCTGGGTGTACCCAGCCCAATGACAGCTCCAGTAGGCTATAGCCCCCTTGTCACTTCAACTTGGATTAAGTGGATAAAGCAAATGGATGGATGGAATACAGTACATACCAGGAACAAAAGTCAGTTAATTGCATATATGCACCAAACCCATGTCACGAAGGCATGCGTATGAATATTGAGTGCAGACTTAAGCATACGTAATAAAGCTTTGAAACATGGTTTGATAAAAATGCATCATGATAAATAACAACCTAATTATCAGTGATATGGAAAAACTATATCATAACTTCATATCAGTTTCAATCATTCTGTGGATCCAATCCTGTTAATTCAAGCAGAAAGTTCTCCGGGCTTTAATAATGAACAATAGTCATTTCCGCTGTTTAGAAAGAATCCACTAAAATATTAACTCAGGGCGGAGTCGTGGAACACTATCGTCTATAATCACAGAAAGTTCCAGAGGAAATGGCAATGAACACAGGAGAGGACGGGAAAAAATCCAGCAAAGATGCAATTAGAAGTGTTGCATAACGGCGGTGGTGACGCTGTCTGCTGGACGTCAGGCCTTCAGCTGGCCCGAGGCTCCCGCATGCTGGCCGACCCTGTCAAATGAATTTACCCTGACCTCCTAATTACCGCCACGAACCATCGCAGGCGAGAATTAACACTCTTTATTCAAGCTCACCCATGAATGTCAAACGACAGAAAACTGCCTGGCCCTCTCCGTTCGTGGCTTTGGGTGCTACTGTGACACCATATTACAGCGCCAATCCTCAGATGAAATAGCCATGCATTACATCAGTTTTGGCTAATGTGCTTAGAGGAAAATAAATACATAAAGCTATTGGGAAACATTATTTCGTCATAGGTGGCTGCCAAAAAGAGCCCGACCACAGTGTGACAAGGTGTCAGTGAAAGCTGAAGAGCCAGACGTGCTGTTATGCTGGTTACATTATTAAAAAACAAACGGCTCATAGCTCATCTCCTTCAAAGATCCTGGGATTCTTTTTACCTACTGATGCTGGTTCTCACTCTTTCCATTGACACTCTCCATGATGGTTGGTTTACATAACCTTCCCATGCATAAACCCTGCATGTTTATGTGTGTTTATGTGTGTAACGTATAAAACTGCACAAATCACTTGTAGCATTGGGGAATCTTTATCGGTGTAAATATTTCACCGACATGTCCACACAATCAGCACTCAATAGGATCGCAAACAAAATACCAATGACACATATTTTCTCTTTCTCTTTTTATGAGCGCTGTGAACTTAATCTGTTTAGTTTTCAAACCACTTCCAGCTACTGTCATGAGCGTTTTGTTTCACATACATCCATTATCCTGTGAGACAACAGCCTCTAAGTGCGTGCCACTATGTTCCGTCAGACCCACAGGCTAAACTTTGGGTTCACTCGTCTGAAATGAAACAGGGGTCAACATCTGACTCATTCAGAACAGACGCAAATGTGCTGATACGCAACAGCATCATCACTGTCTGTTTGTGTCTTCCTCTCTATATATTAGCCAGCCTGTCCTCAGGCATTGTGCGCATCAGTCTCACTGTGCACAGCGTCACAGTTGGGAGGCATATGTGTCTACTAATGTGTGGGTGAAAACCAGAGTGGAGCGTACACTGTTGTGAAAATGAGGCCAGAACACATTTGGTGGAATATAACGTGATGCGTTGTATGACAGCGGCAGTCTGTGAGGGAAAAGCAAGGTTAAATACCACTAAATGGATTTGCCGCTGCTTTTTAAAACTTTAAAACGAGTGGAGCATCACATTAAAGCAGGCAGATTTGGGCTTTTCATTGGTAAAACAAAGTCCTGCATCAGAAAAGGGGATAACGATAATTTTGGTTAGATTCCTTAAGCCCAGTTTAGTTAAATAACTGTTTTTTATGGAATCTAATCGGAATCTAACCATTACCGTAGCTCGTAGTAATGTTTTAAAAACAAAGCATGCACTGTAAAACATCAACACTCATCACCTTCTTTTTTTTAAATGAGGTTAATGAGGAGGGTTGACCATAAAGGACAGTCTTTTATAGATGATACCCCCAGGTAAAGATTATACAACAGTTTTTTTTTGTACCAAAGCTTTAGTTATGACGTGTCCTCCTATTTCTAAAATTTTAAATGCAAATACTTTTTCCCCTCCCCGTGGCTCGGGGTCCACACATTACATAAAGTCAAAGTTGTGGACAGACAAAATGTGCATTGCTTAGACACAAGGCAACTTCTGCATTTTCACTGTATTTACTCATAGTCATGCACAGAATAGAAGACTGACTATTTATATAAGCTAGATCACATTACACATTGGGATGTTCCATTTGTGAATTCTTAAAGTATTTCTGATTTCCACTTTAATGTCTAACCTCACTATCATAAGCCTGGCACTAGTCTCTCGAGAAGATGTAAAATTAACTTTGAGCATATCAAAATATGGGCCAACACAATTCTAATGACAGACAGCAAAGACTGTTCAATGGATCTTCGATATAACAAACCACTGAAAGTGTTGTGAAAAGCAGACACCGGAGGGGGACTGTGTGGTATTTGCATACCCTCACCTCCGTGTCAGCTCACAGCTCTGTGGTCATTATGTAACCACATGAACAAATATCGCTTTATTTAAAGGGGGACGAGTGGAGCTAGAAACCACTCTGTACTGCAAGGATGTGTGTGTGTGTGTGCGTTGTCTGATAAAAAAAAAATCAAGTGAGAGGTGACAGCCTGTCCACGTTTGGTGTTTGGACCGAAATCACCAACACTGCGTTCATAAAAGCAACTGCACAACAGTGATAAATTCTCCCCATTTGCAGTGAGCCTTACATGACAAAAAACAGTATCATTTTCTCACCAGCACCACCAAAAATCAAATGTGTGCACATACAAACTGGAGTTTGCCAAAGTGTCCTAACTGAATCAACAATGACCTCTAGTGGTGAAAAGTAGAATTACACAACAGAATACGGGTTTATAGCCATATAGTTTATAGTTTATAGCTATTAATATCCTTTAATTTTAACACGGGAAAAGCAAAAAATATTAGTCAGATAATTTAAAAAATGTTGTATGTGGGATGAAGTAAAGTAGGTGCTGACAATGCATATTTGGGTAAAAGTATTTGAGCACAGTACAGTTTGTGAAATTAGTCTGTTTTTGCTTGTTTGTTTGTTTTGGTCATCATACACACATTACGCGATTCTCTACAAATTTGCTGTGACAATAATCATAAAAAAGACCTGGTAAATACACCTGGGAGCATGGGCTGATTGACTATTTAGTTGAAATGTGCCACTCGTATTTAAATAGTTTATTAAGGCCAAGGAGTTAGACATTTTCCTGATGGGTTGTGCTGCAGATAAAATACAAATTAACATATTCGTCTGACTTACAAATCAAATATTATTTTGGTTTCACAATAAAGAGGATCAAAGATGTGGATGGTGGACAATCAACGTATTGCCTCAGTACTTTGAACATCCATAGTTTCCTTTTTCAGCAAAATGTTGATGTGTCTCATGTATCGTGTCTCAGGGGTGCAGGTCAAACACAGGAAGACACTTTCACTGCGACTGGTGACTCGCGCCTAGGGCGCCCTCTAGAGGGTGGGCGGACTTTTTTTGTTTATATATAAAATTGAAGGCATATCATTTTTTTATTTCATTCGCTTTCGAGTTTAAACTGTTGGTTCACCACCTTAGAGAAAATACCTTCACCGACTCGGCGGCACGCGACCTGCCGTGTGCAACACGTCTCGTGAGTTTGTCTCAGAACAGTGACGTGTGTCAGCGGCTTGTCTGGTGACGTGTCTCTCCGGCTCTCTCTTTCCTCACGGAGCGGCTGATGGATCCACACTGACTCCTCTGAGCACTCAAACTGGTACCAGTTACACGACAGCAGCCGGCCTAAGAACACCATGGGGAGTAAGTGCTTTTTTTTAAATCTCCATACGTGCTGACATAAAATAGTTGCTGTGATTTTTTTCTGCAACAATACGCTCAGCGTTTGAAGAAAAGCTAATTAGCTAACCTTGGACAGGTTTGATGGCAAGTTGAGCTAGCTCATAACGGGAACAAGCTTAAAGCCAACGTTGTGTCCCCCCCGCTATTTATGAACATTATGGTCATTTATATCGCGAGTTAGAATATTGTTTAAGCTATTGTGCCCCTATTAATATAGGCATCAAATGTATTGGCCTAGATGAACTGATTTGCGATGGAACGCTAGTTAGCATCTCGCTAATGTTATCTGAATGAATACAGAAGTGTTGCAATTATATTTAGGTTCTTCCATCATTTTTCTGAGGGCATTTTAACAAGGTTGTAAGCTGACCAGACGAATATCCGAAATTCTGCGAGTGTTGTGTGTGAGAAATCAATTGCTGTCAAAGTCGGCCACAGTGATTTCCAGAGCGGATCAACTATGATGCACCGCAGACGACTTAAAAACGCCTCCTGGGTATTTACGAGTGGTCTCAGCCTCTCAGATGTGTGTCTATCCAGGCCGGTTGGATTAATAGGCTAAGCATGGCATGGTTAGCTTTGCTGGCAGCTGTTTTAGGCACTGGTTAGTGATGACGTAGCATCTACACCTACCTGGTATGAGAGGCTCAACAAATCGAAAAAAATGTTTTAAGTATTGCTTTATGCAAAGAACGAGATCTGTTGATCTTAACTTTTGCTTAAGTAACGTTTTCATGTCCCCCCTCTTTGTTGTGCAGTTAAATTTTTAGAAGTCATCAAGCCTTTCTGTGCTGTTCTGCCAGAGATACAGAAACCAGAGAGAAAGGTAAGCTCAAGCCTTTGTGCTTTTCCCAAAGCTGTAGTAACACGTGTGACTTGACATTAATGTTATCTTCTGTGCTTTTCCCCCTCAAAACCGGCAGATTCAGTTTAGAGAAAAAGTACTATGGACTGCCATTACACTCTTCATCTTTCTGGTGTGCTGCCAGGTTAGTGTTCTTGAGTACAGTAAAAAACTCCTGTTATGCTTCTGTGTTCTGTTTTAAATTTTTTTCAATGTTTTCTTTAAACATTTTCAGATACCTCTCTTCGGCATCATGTCATCAGATTCAGCAGATCCCTTCTACTGGATGAGAGTAATCCTGGCTTCTAACAGAGGTTTGTTGTCACACACTCAAGTTGCTGCACCCTTGTTTTTTCTGTGTGGTTGAGGCAGGAGGCCCACTCTTTTCACCAAGAGCTGCATTTTCTCCTTATCACTTGCCTTTTTCCAAAGGTCAGCGGTTATAGGTTCTGTAGCCTTGTGTTGATTTCCCTGCGATTGCCTCCCTCCCCTTTGCTCTGCAGGTACTCTGATGGAGCTCGGTATCTCACCCATCGTCACCTCAGGCCTCATCATGCAGCTGCTGGCTGGTGCCAAGATTATTGAGGTGGGAGATACTCCCAAGGATAGAGCTCTCTTCAACGGCGCTCAGAAATGTAAGTTTGGAGTTTGTCACATAGATTTTCAAACTTTGAATTTTTTTCCCCCTTTAAATACCCACTGCTGGCAGATTGTATTTATTTTTCAAATGATTTTTGCCTGTGATGTTCGCAGTGTTCGGAATGATCATCACCATTGGACAGGCCATTGTATATGTTATGACTGGCATGTATGGCGACCCCTCAGAGATGGGTGCTGGGATATGCTTGCTCATCATAATCCAGGTACATTTACGATAACCACTGCACTTCATCTTGAACTTAAAAGAAATGGAGTTAAAATTAGTCCTTGTTTTAGTCAGTAACACTCGTCGGTATGCTATTATCGGTTGTATTTCATTAGATGCATGCCTCTGAGATGTAAACAAGCACTCTGTTGCCACTCTGTCTACCCTGTCTTAAAGCGGACCACCCGTGTATGTTTTTCAGCTCTTTGTTGCAGGTCTGATAGTTTTGCTCCTGGATGAGCTCCTTCAGAAGGGCTATGGGCTAGGGTCTGGTATTTCTCTCTTCATTGCAACAAATATCTGTGAGACCATCGTCTGGAAGGCCTTCAGCCCCACCACTGTCAACACAGGCAGAGGTATTGGCATTTGACTGCACTGTAGAGCTTAGAAATGAAAGCCAGAGACCAGCTGTGTTACGGCACTAACCCTGCGGGTGCTGTGGTTTTTGTAGGTACGGAGTTTGAGGGAGCCATCATTGCTCTCTTCCATCTGCTGGCCACTCGCACGGACAAGGTGCGCGCCCTGAGAGAAGCCTTCTACAGACAAAACCTGCCTAACCTCATGAACCTCATCGCCACCGTCTTTGTGTTTGCAGTGGTCATATACTTCCAGGTACACTGGGTCTCTCTGGCCTTTATCCCACCAAACGGTTATGGAACGTAGACTTTGTACTGATTTTTTTTTTTTTTTTTTTTATCTCATCAGGGCTTCAGAGTGGATCTGCCCATCAAATCAGCCCGCTACCGCGGTCAATACAACACCTACCCCATCAAACTGTTCTACACCTCCAACATCCCTATCATCCTGCAGTCTGCTTTGGTCTCCAATCTGTACGTCATCTCTCAGATGCTGTCAACACGTTTCAGCGGCAACTTCCTCGTCAACCTTCTGGGGACTTGGTCGGTGAGTGTTTTTGGGATTTCGTTTCAACCTCTGTACCAATGCAGCTTGCGGCCACAGAGGGGACATGCATTCGTGCCAGAGCTGATGGCACTCACCATCCCTTTGTGTTCAGGACACATCGAGCGGGGGTCCTGCTCGGGCCTATCCGGTGGGCGGTCTCTGCTACTACCTTTCTCCCCCGGAGTCATTTGGTTCGGTCCTAGATGACCCAGTTCACGCTGTCATCTACATCGTCTTCATGCTGGGATCGTGCGCCTTCTTTTCCAAGACCTGGATCGAGGTGTCGGGATCCTCTGCCAAAGACGTGAGTGTGCCTTTGTGTCTTGGTGTGTTCGTATGCGGGTCAGCTTAAATCTAAAGCTGAAAATGCTCACCAATGTCTTGTGTGTGCTCTCAGGTGGCCAAGCAGCTGAAGGAGCAGCAGATGGTAATGAGGGGGCACAGAGAGACCTCTATGGTGCACGAGCTGAACAGGTACAAAGCAGACATGGACGTACCGCCTCAAGTTGAGGAGCAGCCTAAAGGAAAGCCTTTTCCTTCAACGTGTGTTTGTAATTTCCCCCTGCAGGTACATCCCCACAGCGGCTGCTTTCGGAGGGCTCTGTATAGGAGGGCTGTCTGTCATGGCAGACTTCCTGGGTGCCATCGGATCGGGCACCGGAATCCTCTTGGCTGTGACCATCATCTATCAGTACTTTGAGATCTTTGTGAAAGAGCAAAGCGAAGTTGGCAGTATGGGAGCATTGCTCTTCTAACATGAAAATAGAAATATGCCAATTTTCTGATGCACATCAGGCACAAAGAATCCAGCCCATCTTTTTTTTTTTTTTTTTTACCTTTTCCTTTTTTTTTCTCCCCCCATTTTACACATTGTATTTTGCAGCAGCAGTTGTTCATGTTTTTGTTTTGTTTTTTTACTCCACCACCCCTGCTTTTCCATCTCATTGTGGAAGAAAGCGGTTTTGGTTATTCGCAGGGTCGAGCATAGTGTTCAGGCTCCTTACCCATCTCTCTGCCGGCTGCCTAAATCCCCACCAACCGTCATACGAGCTGAAGAATGCTTTAAAGCACACAGGTGTGAGAGCTGCCTTTGACTCGCCTCAGGCATTTTTCACTGTAGCACGTTTGAGGAACACTAAGACAGCAACAGCACGATGATGCTTATCTCGAGCTGAAAGCACTGTGCCTGAAACATTTCATGAAAGCTGATAGAATGCCATACCATGGTCTTTGCCTAGCAATCATGTGTGAGGTTTCTACCGGACTAGAGTAGGATGTGAAAAGCCTAAATAAGATGTGCTTGGCACTCCTTAAGCTCAGCTAGTGATCTCAGACAAACTATTAGCGGTTGTCATTGACCTTTTCATTTTGTTTTTGTTTTTTAGTCAGTGACTATATTTGTATTCACGCTGGTCTTACATAGGGCACCGTGTTTGTCAGTCGCCTCTTGGTCCTCAAGGAAAAGTCTTTTTTTTCTTCTTATTTTTCCCCCCCTTTCTTTCGTCGTGCTCTTTTATTCCCGGACTGAATCGCTGCACAAAACTGCCGAGATGGTCGGGATGAGGGTGGGTTTGATAGGGCTGTAAAGGGGTTTCAGTTTTTGTTTTTACTTTATGTAACAAACATAATTGTGTTATTAAAAAAAGAACAGAATTTGTTTTCCAACACATCTGGAGATATTGTTTTCATTTCTATCACATTAACTTAAATGGTTTTACAGTCATCAGTGAATCACAGACACCCTATACAAGTTATTTTTGCTGGCTATTGTATGAAAAACTCCAGGACGCTTTTTATATTGCCAGAGGTTGGTAATTGATCAATTGTTGGTGCCCATCATAAGCACAAGTACAAATCTCAGTCAACTCTCGGGCATGGATGTGGAAATACAATGGTTTGATTCTAATTGGAGCAATGGGAACTTGGAACCTTGCAGTCATTGAGTCGACAAAGAGCACACTGTAGACCAAAGAAATTGAGTGTGGGGACATCTGTCTGACTGTTAAAGCTGGACTGAAACCAGGGTCAGTGAACAGGGCACAAACAAGCAAATCTCCAGCAGAAACATACTATGAAAACAACCGCATCCGCAAGCTGCATATTTTTAAATGGTCTGATTTTATGAAATCGAGGCAGCTTTGTGCTTGCATGTTAATTATTAAGAATCAACAATCAGGAATGATTCCCTAAAGATGGCAGCATTTATATGAGGTATGGTGGAACCTTAGGAGAACACTCATGGAACCTCTACTGAGTGTTTGCACAACCAAAGAATATTTCACCACTGTATGGAGAACAAAGGTTTTTTTTTTTTTAAAGTTGCATTTACTGAAAAATAATCTTGAAAATGTTTTGTAAAGGTTGTTTCTTGCAAGGAAAAAAGGGAGGCTTTGGGGAATGTTTTCTAAAGTGGATCTGAAGGTCACGATGTCTGATGTTGAAGAAAACCTACAACACTTATCTTGGACTATTGTTAAGGAACCCTTTATAAAATTTTTCTACACAACGCGCCTAGAAAAATCATTTGAGAGGGTCACAAATTATTTATAAAAGAGCCTGAAAATTTCTTAGGAACCAACACTGTAAAAACGGCAAATGCAAGTAAACTTTCACTTTTTAAAGTATACGCACACACAGCAAATAAAAAGGGAAAATGTAAAATAACTAAAATATGAATGGGGGAATAATTAAATACAATGTGAGAAATACTTCAATAATAGCAGGCGGTTATTTAAAAACCCCTTTAAACGGTTCCCAAACACAAGCATGACTGCGTATAAATATAAAAGTTAGGTTACTTCCACAATCATTTTTCATCGTGTAAGAAACACTTTTACACAACGGGTAAGAAACAACACGCAAAATCTTGGTAAACATAAATAGTATTTCCTTGCGTGACGTCATATACGTGCGCCAGTTGGAGGGCAGGTCAGTGGGCGGCTGTGGGACGCCGGGTAACTTGTCAAATGAAATCCTCGTTGTAGCCCAGTCGTCTCTCTAACGCAGGTCTACTTTAATTTCCGAGGACAAGGCCGGACTCAAAACAAACCCTGCAAACATGTCGTACTGCAAACAAGAAGGTAATTTCATATCTGTTTGTGTAATACCCCCCTGTTTGGCCAATGTCAGGGATAGAGACACCATGCTAAGCTAGCATTTAGAGAAATGACTTCACCAGGGCTGTCAGTGAATGAGTTAACCGGTCACGGCGCAGTTTTCTGACTCACCACTCTGAGATGTTAACGAGTTAATGTAAAATTACTGCATTTTGTCACACGTCAAACGGTTACCTGTATTCCAACAGCGATGTGACCACCAGGGTCACCATCAGTTTAACATGGGAACAAACGCTCTGGTACTACTAAGCCAAGCATAGAAACTGACATCCCAAATTTATCATTTCTATCTTTATGGGCTCATGTGACCATTGTTGATGCTTTTATTTAAGGCAAGGATCGCATCATCTTTGTGACCAAAGAGGACCACGAGGCACCCAGCAACGCAGAGCTGATCGCAGATGACCCCGATGATCCCTATGAGGAGCACGGTTAGTCAGCAGCACTGCACAGGCCGGTTCCTAAAGATGAATTTCAATTCCCTTTTCCCTTGTTTAGTTTAGTTTTTTTTTTATCATGTGATCATAAGTTGTTTTGTTAAACTTCTAATAGCAGTTATGTGTTTGATTATGCATCTAAAACATATTTAAATGACACATTTAGGGCTTCAATTATCTGTTAAAGCTATAGCAGCCTTAACGTTGAATTAGATACTGGTTGCTTATCCTTTAATGTCGGTCAGACTAATATAGCATCGGTGGATGTAAAGACCTGAAAATATAACTTTTCAACATATCTGTTTAAACATGCAAGGCTACTAGTTTAAGTTGTTAACATCTTAAGAGACACGTCACCTTCTCTCTCATCTGTGGGAAGAGAAACTGGACTGTGCCGCCCAAATATCTATTAAGTCTAAGCTATCCTATTCAAATGTGTTTTGACAATGTAAAACATTTTATTTACTGCAGTCATTTCTCTTTGCGGGGTTGGGTGAAGCTCTTATAGAGCGGTTAGTGGAGTCTTTCTTAAGAGAATCGGAAGATTACCCCTTGAATCATCTTGAGCAGGACAGTGGCATCAGAAAAGCCTCTGATGCTCTACATCTGTTTGAGTGTGGTTCTTCATACACTGAAAAAATCCAGCTCTGTCACCATGTTGTCATGCTTGAGACTTTCTTTAGTTCTGTAATATTTAAATTGGCTTAAAAGCACCGTGATGACAGAGACACAAACCTTTTAAGACTTTGTGCCAAAACCTTTTCAAAGATGTTTGTGAAAACTTGTCTCAGAAAGGCTCTTCTGTGTTTTATCCAGGCCTGATCATGCCTAATGGACAGATAAACTGGAACTGCCCGTGTCTCGGTGGCATGGCCAGTGGACCGTGTGGCTCTCAATTCAAGGAGGCCTTCTCGTGCTTCCACTACAGTCAGGAAGACGTCAAGGGCTCGGAATGCATCAACCAGTTCCGCGGCATGCAAGAGTGCATGCAGAAGTATCCTGAGCTCTATCCGCAGGAGGAGGACAAGGAAAGCTCCGGTCAAGCAGAGCCCCACTCTGGTCCTGCTGCTGCTGACGACTCGGCCTTACTGTCGGAGGATGACTCGACTCCGTCGACTTCAGTGGTGCAATCCGACAGCACGGTGACTACAGAAAAAAAAGCTGTCAGCTAAGGCCAATGGGGCTGTCATCAGTGACTCTCCGTGAGCTGCTCTGATTGGCCTGTTTGAGCTTCAGAGAGGCCTGGTTGACACGGCTCTGACACTTGTGGGCCAACAGAGGAAGACATGTGAATAGAATCAACCTACAGTAACAAATAGAGGCTGCGTTGTTTTCGGAGCACTTGGTAATCGCAGAGTATCATCACTGAGAATGAGTGCAGCAGTCCGCTACAGGGACGTGAGTTAAAAGACTCGCATTACAGCATAAGCAACCGAAAGGTTCTTTTGCCGCTTCTTGCTTTAGACTGAAAGTAATTTATTAGCATTTAACATTAAAGCCACCTGGTCAAGATGGGCAATTATAAAAATATTTGCAGAATTTTAAGATGGAATCTATTGAGTTGAGTCATGTTGTTGTTTTCACCCAGTAAGAGACCAAAATATTTAGTAGAAGATTGGTCGGTTTGACCAGTTAACGTTCGCTAATGTTCCTAACTGGGCTCATTGTTGTTCAGACAATTTTGCAGGATTAACGATGTTCACAAACGGTCCGCTTTGCCCAACATCAACGTGTGACTGGATCGGTGTTTTTGTTGTCTTAACATTGTGTGCAGTTTTCAGTTGGATGCTTTCGCCACCACTCAATCTTTAACGGTGTGGAAGTGTTTATCGCAATACATGTCCAGATTAAAATGATTTCTATACCGATTTCCATCTGTCATCTTAGATTTATTTGTAGAGGAAAAACAACATCTCAGGTAGTTATGTTTAAATGTATTAGTTAACAACAGAAATATAGTAGAAGAGAATCCAGAGGTGACCTAAAGATGCTGCATTAGAACCATTGTAGAATAAGGAATATTCTACAGGAACCACTCATAGAATTGTTAGACTTTGAGATCAGATTATCTACCATTATATTCAGATTTGTACAAGAATTGGCTATGATTTGTTTAAATAAGCCTTGCTTCTCTTTTTGACCCTTTGGATCTTTCTTGATGATGAGTTTGACTCTAAATATTCCCACCTTGCTGACAGTGCTTTTCAGTCCTGATGGATCTGGTGAAATCTTTAAGGTTTACCCCTCTTTTTTTCCCCCTGTCTGTTTGGAGATCGTGGTCAGCATCCATTTCGTAGTCCCTCCGATATAATTAGCGCTTGTCGAGGTGTCCATGGAACTACAACGCTCTGCATGGTGACCAACAAACGTCCTGTTGTGGGTTCCTCTGGGCCAGCAAGCAGGTAGTCCACGCCTGAGTAAAAAAAACAGAAAAATAAATTTAAAACAAGAAAAAACTGCTGACGATAGTGTTAGTCTGTTGATATTGCTGTAATTCAAACATATATATACACATCATTGGTCTGCTGGATGAGTAAGATGAGTTACTCTCTGGTTGGGAGCATGCTTTTTACTTCTAGACTCTCAGAGCCTGCCGTACCGGGGTTTAGAATGGGACAGGTGCAGCCACGGCTGGTCCAGGACAGAGGGTAGATGCTGATGGTGCCCAGGTGCAGCGGAACCCGGCCCGATCGGAGCACCTTGCGGATTTTGACCTGCACTTCTGCGTGGCTGCCTTTGTCGTGGGCAGAGAGCACGCTCGCCTTAATCACTGTCCAGTGCCAGAAAGGACAAAAACGGAGAACTCTGAACCAACGGCTCCACAGCTGAGAGTTTTTTTTTTCTCTAAATTATGAAATAATTTTCTTACCATAGTCATGCTTAGTCTTGCACAGGTCAGACAAAGTCCTCAGCTTTTTCTCCTTACACCTGCATTTCCCTGTGTACCAACAGTTTGATGTGCTGTGACTCTCGCTAACTGGCACACCTTATGAAACACCGTCATTTTAATCTTCGCCGTGTAGGTAAACTTCACCTGTATAATGCAAAGCAGAGACTGCGAGCTCCTTGGACCACTGTACGTCTTCCTCAGTAGGGAACATGTAGTCCACGTCTGGGATTTTACCGCCAATGGGCACATTTAACACCTGATTATTTGGGTAGCTGCGGTGGCAGAAAGAAGCACATATTATCAGTGCCCGCTTTAGCTAATAAGCATTAAGCCTTTTGTGAAAACTGTGACAACGGATACAGTGTTTTAGCTACCCGTCCAGACAGAGCCCGGTGGTCATATCACAGCTGCGTGGGCATGCACAGGGTTTGCACCCCCCACCTCCGAACCCCCAGTAGCCGGGCAGACAGCGGCTGCAGCTCGTGCCCCCGACACCGGCTTTGCAGCGGCACTGGCCAGTCTTCGGGTGGCACCAGGGCTCGTCCTCTCCATCTGCCGTATTTATAGAACCCAGAGGGTCACACCAGCAGCCTGAGAAACAAAGAAACAGGTTTGCATTCATAATAAATTTTAGTTGAATGTTTCAACACTGAAATGAAAGTAACAGTAACAGTAAGATCAGTAGGCAGAACAGTCCTAGTCTTACGTGTGCAGGCATGGGGGGACTTGAGAGGCAGGGTCGGGAGTCGGTGGTAGCCACGGCGACAGCGCTGGCACCTGCGCCCGGCGGTGTTGTGCTGGCAGTGGTCGCAGACCCCCCCGCTGGTGCCGTTGGAGGAGAGCCACGCCCGCTGGGAGAAGCGGCAGCTGTCTGCGTGGCCGTGGCACTCGCACTCTTTGGTCACAGATGTGTGTGTGTGTGTTCGTGTGTGTGTGTGTGACGCCACAGCAGCCAGAGGGACGAAAGGGAGGCAGAGTGGATGTGAGGAAAACATCAAACAGTCAGAACAGGTGAGCTATCGGTGTGTGTGTGCCTAAAAATACTTCTCTTTCAAAAGTTAGACGCAGTGCGTGTGAACTGTCTTCCTTTTTTTAAGCATCCTTTCAAGTTAAGAAGAAAAAGACTGACAGTAAGACTACCATGTTCCATCAACACTGAAGATCAAGACAGACCGTTAAATCAAATGACTGCAAACAGACTTCCTGCGCAATGTAAAGCTTATGTTTCTAATATTAGATAAACCTTTATACGTCCTATCAGCTGCTTCTTTGTTTTTTTGCTCTTACACTGACGCTTTAAAGTCCACTTTGTTAAGCATTTGCACCAGCTCTCCCCCACACTACAGGGTCTGGAGCCGGTTAAATGATTAATGCTCGTGGAGTCCAGGCGTGGATCACTCACTCTGACACGGGTTGGGCTCCCCGCTGCTGCCGTTGGCGGGCCTCCAGGGCCGGTCGTTGTAGAGCGGCGCGCACCGCTCACAGTGATCCCCCTCCGTGTGGTGAGTACAAAGACACCTCCCAAACACCTGGAACACACATCTGGGGCTGCTCAGTCATTTCACTGACACTAATCCATGTTACAGACACCTGCTGGCTGAAGAAAGCCATAAAACACACGCAGACAGGTGCCGGAAAAAGTAAATCAAACAGTTTAAAGCCATATAACAGGTTTTCTCTTGCAGTAAGTTTTTTTTTAACCTGGACTCAAAATCCTTTAGTAGACCAAAGGTCATTATAGTAACTTACAGGTGCTCTTTTCTAACAGATTTAGGCCTTTTTCTTTGAGACGGAAAGTTCACTTACCACATCCCTGTCCTGTTCCTTGTCCTGGCTGCTGTTGTACGGCACACAATATTCCGCATGTCCATGACACAGGCAGGTCCCTCTGGCCAGTAATGAATAGATAGCGTATGGGGCTGAGTGGGAGCTGCCTACACTGGACACTGGGGTCAGAGGTGAGTCTGTGGGGCTCGTCCATTCAACAGGCTGGTTTAAAGACGCGGGACACGTCTGAGCTTTAAGCAGTCTGACGCGGAGATTTGTGAGGGTCAGGTGGGCCAGAGCCTCTGGGCTGTAGGGGTCCACTGTCTCAGCACCACTGGGGTCAAGAGTGCGTAGTATTACCTACAGTAGGAGAAGCAAAAAGGGGCTGAACGCCAATGATTCCAGATTCCGAGCACTTCCGTATTTGTGCCGGGTGTCTTACCTCTCCGCCGCTGCAGGGATGAGCGCTAGAATAACGGGACGTGCACACCGACCCGGGCTCCTGGTAGTCGTCGGGCAAACCGAACTCTGTGCTGCAGTTGAGCGCGAAGACCTTGAGGTTCTCCCAGGTCTTTCCAAAATCGGCCGAACGTTGGACAACCATGGCGGCGGGCCGGGGTGACCGGAACACCAAAACCACGTGGGACAGGTAGAACTCCGTCTCCAGGTCCAGACGTATCTCGTCCCGCGGCTCCGTCGTGCTGGCGCTCACTCTCGATTCCCACCAGGTGTCCGGATGCAAGAAGGGGTCATCGGTCATCAGAGCGGGTGGGTGAGTGTCCTCTCGGCAGGCGTGGGGGTTCCCATGAGGATCAGGGCATGATCGCTGGTGCAGGCTGCCGTTCTGACAGCAGTCAGACAGGGTGAGGAGCATCCTGCCGCTCGCCAGGTTCCCTATGGCCGGACTACAGGCCTGGTCCACGCATCTTGAGCCTGAAACAAAGAGCAGGTGTGAGCCATTGGGAGTTCAAAGGTAAGTTCCCCTCATAAAGCAGACACGTGTCGTGGAGTTTCGGACATGGTGACAGACAGGCATTCATGAAGGAAACAAGCAATCAAGCACTGGCATCATGGAGCAAACCAAAATCCTCCTCATTGTGTTTTCCATGAATAGTTCATTTGCCTGACCATTGTTCCACGGCTGCTCAGGTCACAGAATCCAGCCATGCCCCCAACATCAAAAGTCACTCAGGTTACATGCAGTCAGACAGAAAGATATACAGGAAATGTCTGCAAGAGGCCAGACTTTCCAGTGAGATCATCAGAAAAGGAAGATGTGGCATCACTATGAAGGGGACACGTCATACGACCTTATGACAGAAAACAGGATGGAATTGGACGCCTCTTGGAAACTCTGCAGATGACTCAGATAAACAGTAGCAGTGCATGCAAAAGATGAGGCGCCGCACCTGCACCACTCCGCCTCACAAGTAAAAGCAGCCAACCCAGCACCACCAGCATCCGCCGTCGACCTGTCCCGAGCATGTTAACAACTGTCGTCCTCCTTCCCGCTGAGTTCACAACATTCCCGGTGCGACGAACGCCTCTCCGAAAAGACGAGTCCCCACATCGTGCGCAGTGCCTATAGAATCCACATTTCTCTCCGAATTACGTCATGCGCAAATTTAGGACAATTTCTCCAGCGTCCTCACAAAAAATGATAGGGACTGATGCAGTTCAGATCCTCCTCCGGGTTGCTGCAGAGTGCGCGTCGCAGGTGCAGGAAAAGATGGACGGCTTGGTTAAGGACACTCCACATCTGACAACGTGCACAAAAATGATAAATACGCGTTACTAATTTCCACCTGATTAATAGGCCTACTTAATCATTTGCAGTGAAATACAAGTCATTTTTGGCAAACAAATTCCTTTCCACCGCTTTTTCCGTGCGCTTGCTTCCTCCGGTGATCCCGCATTTACGCACTGGAGAGGAGTTGGAGCTGCAGGCTATTTATACCTGAGACCCGTCCGCCCACCACCCGCCCCCCTTCAGCTCCCCCGATGTGTTCCACATAGACGATACTACTCTAAAATTGTGAGGCTGCATTCTTTTTACTAATCTGACGGCCATTCATCCATGACGAGTCCCTTAAGAGGTCGAGCGCGCGTGGGGGTCAGAGCCGCAAAAGGCACCAAGTTAATGTAAACCAGCAGCCGCACTGCGCATACCAGCCCTCAACCAGGTCCCCCTTCATCAGCCATGCTCTCGTAATAAGCCTTGGAGAATTTGTTTATCAGCCTCATCCCCCTTTTTTCAGCAGCTGTAATTCCAAGTAACAAGGCTCTTTGAAGTCTACAAGAAAGAAACCTGAGGAGGGAAGCAAAAATAGTCCACCAGAAGGATCTGGCAGCTTTGAGTTTCATGCAAATGAAAAAAACAGTAAGATAAGAAAGTTGACTTTTTCTGTGGTAAATGGCTGTCTGCAGCTTTACTGTGTCACTGCTCATTGTGATCCTGGATAAAAATCAACAAGGTCTAATACATGGCAGGGATTCCTGTTTGAATTATTGTCAACCTCAGGAAACACATGTACGGTCCCCTGGTGATCTTAATGGTTTTTGTGTGTATTTTTTCTTTTCTTTTCTTCTACAGGACGCACACACCTACTCTTTCATTTGGAAAAATACACACAATGTCAGTTCAGTTCTATTGCTCCACAATCAGCACAGAGAGTTCAGAAAATAGGAATAGACACACAGAACAGGGCTGGTTTCCATCTATGTCTTCAGTGACATACAAATTGTTTACAGGCCTGCCTATTTGCCTTTTGCCAGAGTGCAGATCAAAAACAGGATTACTAAAGACTGGCACGGACAAATGATGATGACAGGAACGTTTGTTGTGATAAAATGCAATGTGAGTTTGCTTTAGAAGAAGCCGACAGTTTAGTCACGGTATCCAGTCCTTTTTTGTTTCCATCAGTGGAAAGTTTGTCTGTTCAGACATAAAACTTTATCCATAAATGTTTTTATCTCTCCAAGACATAAACACATAATGCAGTATTTTGTTCTCTGTGCATTTTCCCCTTGTTCAGCTCTTGCTGTCATTTCCTTTCATCACTCCAACTTTATAGTTTTTGGCAGAACTCCAAAAAACCCCATCTTTTTTTAAATTCTATATATAAAGAAAACCTTAATGGAAGATTAAGCTAATTATTTATATAAGGGATTAGCTGGTAATTTTAGGATAATATGAACAGTGATTCAGCTGATTCAGCTGATTTAGAGTCAGTTCTGTTTCTACTGGACATGCGGAAAAGAGATTTTCATCTTTTCGTAGTTTGCCAGAAGAGACCTGTGTGCATTTGTGTGTTTAGGGAGGGGGGATGATGGATAAAACATAGTCAAATCATCTGTGTGGTCCAGCTGTTTCTGGAGGAATTTCACCCTGTATATAAGTGTGTTCTGATTTCTGAAAAGACTCTCAAACATTTGGGGACTTTGTTCAATAAAACCCTAATTTAAGGTTAAAGTATGGCAGCAGAGCTGTAAAACATTTTAAGAGCAGCAAGTGTGATAAATGACTCTGCAAGTAAACTACATTTTGTTGCTCAATTTAGCTTTAAAATGCAAAACATGTTGAATTATAAACTGACTAAACTGTAGTTAAAGATAATTTTATGTCTTGTGGGAATGCAGACCCGACCACAGCCAATAAAGTGCCTGTTAAAAATGTGAACGTAAAACGAAGATAAACAACAGAATACACATATCTGCTCCCAACATGTTTTCTTCTAGGTGCAGCGAGAAATGTGTGTAAGTGTTTTTTAACCAGTACCTTTCAGAAATACAATACAAATATGCACTCAGGGTATTATTTCATCAAGCACCTGGCATTGCAGGTAAAATACATCCCTGAGTCACAGGGATGTCCTACCTGCCATATGACTGATTGTTCTTCTTTCTTTCATTCACAGAGAGGTGGCATTGGTCAGCAGAATCTGGGTCAGATGAACAGGAAGTCCTGCTTCTCAACCTTAGCGTTGTCCTGGTGGTTTATACATGCACGCTGAGCACATGGTGTCGCTCCATTCTTGTCAGTCTCGCTCTATATCTACATCTCCCCCCAAACTTTCTCTACATATCACTTTGTATATTTCTGCTGGGATGAAGAGGATTAAGCTTCCTCTTCACGTGACTTTGACTTCAATGTAGGCCTCAGAAGCTAACAAGATCAGGCCCTGATTTGCATAATTTGAAACATTTACTCTCACTGTTTTTGTTTTTTGTAATGGCAGAAAAGGGTAAGATCTTGAAGGATGTCATCAGCTGCCCACAAGAGTAAGAAGTACAGGCTGTGACCAATAGTGTTCAAGTTAAGCAAGGTCAGAGTAGTCAGTCCTGTTGATTTTTATAAGACTCTCCTTTAAATTTCACAGCTTGACCTATGGCGGGCCAATGCGTGATATATAGATCCATTAAATTTCAAATGAAACTGTCGCACTTTTTATTATTATACTTGTAATAACTGGAAATTAAAAGGTCAAACTTGAAAGTCAATAGCGAAGAACTTTAGTTCAAATTGAATCCAAAAATCAAAGCAGCATGTCCTCGGGACTGTTTGAACTGGCCCATTGCTGGAATGCTGAAAGCTTGACAACTTTTGGTGATGGCTTTGAAAGAGAGTCCTCCTCACTGCTGATATTCTTTAATGTCTGTCTGTCTGTCCTTTGTGTGAGTGTTAACAATAATTTGTGTATGAAATGATTTACAGATTTCTGATGGTTCCATCAGGATCAGAGAATATGCCACAGGAAATCTCTGGAAGAACATGAAACAATCCCCTCATATGAGAAAAACAATCGCACACTATGGAGTTGAGGCAGTTCTATGGACGGTATAGAATTTACATTTCTTCAAATGTCACTGAATTTTGTGTTTGTGTGAGTAAGAGAGAGATGGTGTGGGACCCCATTTTTAACATTTAACGCACAGAGGCTTTTTAAAATGTGAGAATAAATAATACATATGAAGTTGTCAGGCCAGAAACTGATAGAGGCCAGATGAGGCTGTGCACACAGCCCTCTGTGAAGCTCAGTAATATGTGTATCCATGGCCATAAACTCTTACATATGTGTAGATGACGGGAAACTATGTGGAAACTCTTCCATTTATACTTTATTAATTCTTAACAAGGAGGAATTTGAGGAATGTTTTCAAGTGGCTTGCTGAGTGTTGATGGTAAATGCCTAAAACCCCAGATTAAAAGAAGTAATAAAGATAATAATTATGGTGCTGACTCAGTTATATATGTTTAAATAGTCATCTGCTGAAAATTTACTTAAGATTATAACCACTCCCTTACACAAGATAAATAATCAGTGTGCACATTACATACAATTTGATAACTATTGTCCACCCACAAAAACTAACCAATTCACAGACTGATTTTGACCCATCACACTTACATGTGTTATGGATTTGATCCACTGCTTTTCTCCTCTTCCAGCTCACACCCTCTTCTGATAAAGAACACTGACTATACAATGATTTATATTAAGTGCCTAAGACAGCTTTAGTAAATTCACATGGATGGAATTGTGCCACTTTGGAAAAGTCACATAAAGAAAAAAATCAAATAAAGGAGGTTTGGGGGGGGGGGGGGGGGGGGGGGGGGGGGGGGGGTGTCGAGGCCTCCCAGTGGAGTTCAGCATCATTTAGAAGCAGATGGACATAAATCGAATGATTCAATTCAAAACACAAGTTTTGTTTGTTCTAACTTCTTATGGCCCTTTTTTCTTATTGTTGAGTATTTCAAACCAAGAAATGGAGCAAATGCAAGGTGAAATCAAACGCAGCTGCTTGAGGTTGCAGGGCACCGGCTGGGGGTTTCAGACTGCTGCTTATGTCTGCCACTGTTCTGCTTTGAGGCCCCTCTCAAGCCATTAAATCTGTCTTTTATTGGCATGCCAAGTCCACCTGTGAGTCATCTAACGGATGATGGCTATTTTAATGTATGCTCGAGTGCAAAGGTCACTGTTAAACAACGGTTCATCATCTGACCCAGCCAGATCAAAAATCCAATCAGCATGCCGGCGGCCTCATCCATGTGTTGCTGGTATATGCCTTGGTCTTGTAAAATGCAAAGCCACAAAACGCAGCATTGTTAATGTGACATTTGCTGCCCTCATGGTGCTTCTGTTTCATCTCTGAGCTGACATTAATTGAAAATGGGGTGTAGTAAAGAGTACAACACTGTGTAGGCAGTATAATGTAACAGTTCTAACAAAGTCTCCTGGAATTTCAACCTCTCTGTGCAAGTGAGTGTGCAAATCAAAAGGTCTACTTTATGGGTCTGAAGATGATCTCTACATGTCTCCACATAATTTGAATATATAACCGTATGAAATTTAAGTCGGTAAGCCAGAGTTTAATGATACCTTTACCAAACTACAGACATTTTTGTATGTTTGAAATGCTGATACAAAAAGCGAGAGAAGAATCCCACAACAACATATGGGTGTGCCCACATTTGTGGTTGCTGGAGATTGTGGGTCTCTGTTGAGAAGGTATGCTGGAATATGTGCAGCCACCAAGACGTTGTGGCTAACCCCACAAATGGGACAAATGTAAGAAAGGGACAACTAGTGTTTGATCCTATCTGGACTACATCTGTCCCACAGGAGAAGCTAAAATTAGAAGCCCATGCTGATGTCATTAGGGTACAAAAGGAAGTGAAGTTTTGAAACAGTAGAAAAAAAGGGTTGTAGAAAGGTACATAATTCAGGCATGGTAAGATGAAAAAATTATAGGAAGAATTATAAATGTAGGTGATAATGTAAGATAATGGCAGCGGATCTGTGGCTGAGCTCATTCAGTGACAAGCGAGGCCTTGTGTGGGACAAAGTCAAATACAGGGTGGATCAAGGCTGTGACAAAGGATGTTTAGGGTTTAATCAGTTTGACTCAAGCAGAGCTGCCGGCCACATCTGTCCAATCAAGTCCCATCTCCATGGTGGCCTCCTGGCAACTGGGATGGCTGAAGCATTGTCAGCCTAGGAAATTATTTTTAAGGACCACCACCTCATCAGAGGCTCGTGGTACTTCGGCGGTTTTCTTTGTAACCTCTTTGAGCTGGGTCTCCTCATAGATTTAATCAATAGCTCAGACATGTGTTAATCATTAATAAAATGATGTGGTCAGGATGTTCTCAGTACTGAGACCCCTCTGATATGATAATGTCTTTATTAGATGTGGGTTGTTTAGATCCTTGGGGAAATCTTTGATTCTCATTTCCTCCTTGAGTGAGGTAATCGCTTTGGAAACTGAGCTGTTCTGGGGGAAGCAAGTGAAACTTAGGACCTCTAAACATGTCAACAGGTCTGCCTTGATTTAGGCGTGAGTGGCACAGAATGTAAAATTCCTTTACAGCCATATCAAATCACTGTGTACTTAACCTTTGCTCTTCAGTGCTTGAATGTATATATATTGTTTCTTTTTGGCCATGACTGCTGGACACAATAACATCCTCAGGTTTGACTTTCCCCATCTCCAAAATCCAGTTCTTTCTGTGTTGATCTTGTGTCAGGACAGGATTCCCCTAACAAGCAAAATGCAAGGGTTTTGGCATAATGAAATATCTTGGCACTGGCAGGGGGTACATTGCAGAATGTCTTTAATTTACAACTTTTATAGGGGCTTATAATGCACTTTTTATATGTACAGTATGTGTCAGTGATCTAAAGAGGACTTTCTCAACTGAGGACACAGACAAGCTGTTAGATTTGGGAAATGATTTTTAAAAAGACGTGTGCATTCCAAAGTCAGTGGGAATTTCTATGGCTGAAATCCACAAGATATAGCTTTTGAAACTCATGCGCTTCAAATCCTTGATCCCAGATGCTTTTTCACACTTCGATGTTAAGTTGGATGTTACAACTAAAATTGGACTGAGAGTTGAGACTTTTTAATATAATACTCTGAAGTGAAATAGGTACATAAATATTGTCACTCAGTACATACGTGAACCTGCTTTTGGCTCGTGACGCCAGAAACGCGTCTTCGTCTCCATGACGACCGTTGCTGCGTCCAACATAACCTGGTGTTAACGTCCAGTGCCAAACTGAGCTTTCTTATCCTGAAGACATTATAATTTTTCTCTGAAGATGTTAGTCTAAAGGACAAGCACTTGTTTGATTTCAAAGAAGGTATGCCATGTTTTATGTGTATCACAAAATTAGGCAAAGTCCTTTAATTATTACTGTTGTTTTTACTTTTTTATACGAAACGTCAGAACCCAGTGTCGAGTGGCCAGTTAAGTGCGTAATTACTTTAGTAGCTTGTATTTTTAAAAAGCCCATTAAATAAATGTATATGTAGGTTTGGCTGCAAAGGTCCGTTGAGCAACATTCCCGTTAAACCTTAAGCTGTATTAACGGCGACGTCCCATTTCCTACGGTCCACAAGCAGATACAAGCAGACTTCTGAGTTTACGCTTATTCATTCAAAATCTGCGTGTAGATGGAGGGGAAAGGTCGCGGGAAACTGATGCCTCACCCTCCCAGCAAAACCCCTGAGGACAATCCTCCATGTGATGACCACAAACAATCCTCCAGCGTTGCGAGACCTGAGTCCCATCAGAGGTCACGTGACCTATCGGCTGTGAAATCCGTTGATCTCAGCTCATCAAACGGTGAACAATAAATTGTGAACATATTAAGCACTGATTCTAAGTTCAAATATGAATTCTCTTGGGCTGTTTGTTAAGTTTGGGGTCTGTACTGTTTACACGCAGCTATCAAGACTCCATCTAAGCAGTCTAAGGATCATCATGACCCTGGAACCTCACAGATTTCACCGACCTCTTACTTTCCTCTGGGTGGGGATAGACCCAAAGTCCAATTGCCTTACAAAACAACTCATGGGCAGCTTCCGCGCAAATTAGCGATAGAGAGGTAAGACCAGTTTACATGAACACTGTATGACAGAAGAAGGCTTTTTATCTGATGCCGTGTCTCTCTACTTGACAGTTTGGCTTTAATTTTTGTTTTGCTTGCTAATCTACACTCTATTTGTACATGATGTTTTAACAGACGTCGACGGGAATTCTTGAAGTTAGATCTGGAACAGATCCTGCTTGAAAAAGGCATTAACTCTAGCATGTTGATACCACGATATATGAAGAATACTGATGAGGATGAGAGTGTTCCTTACAATCCAATGTCGCTAGACCTCCGACTGGAAGTAGGTCCACTGTATTGCCCATGTAAGCTTTTGTGTGGCATAGTTATACTTAAAATTATTTCAGTGATGTCTGATTTTGAAACATCGCCATGACACGATATTCTTTTCTCTTTTTTTTTTCTTGAGTTATTCGATAATGAGGATTTTGACTGCAGAACACCAGAGGACTGGCTTGCCCTCGGCAATTCTGAAGAATCACCTGATCGAAAGCCTGTTCCTGCAAGAGCCCTCCTGCTTAATGATGATGATGATGATGAGGGTCCTGGTAAAAATGTTTGTTGTAATGTTTACACATATGAGAAATGTTTCTTGTTTTTATGGCTATTTTCCTCTTTCCCTTTAGAAGATGAGCAAAGAAGCCCGGCACAGGGGTGCAGCTGGCATTTAGTCGGGGTTCTTGACTATAGTAAGGAAAAACGTCAGTATCTGGTACAGAGGGTTCACAAAAGCAGCAGATGTGAAGGTGACGTGGAAACCCCTATTGTAAATGAGGAATACAAGAAAAAAAAATCCATCGGTTAGTTTTTATTTGCTTACTCTGTAGTAGGACACTTAGGTCTCATCATGCTATTCTGTCTCCCTTAATCATGCATATACGTTCTGTCACAGAAATAACTCCCTTACGAGGAGGAAGGGAGCACTGGGTACCCAGGATTAGACTGTCTTTCTGTGCGGAAGATCCAAGACTCTTTGCTGAGCGAATCGGCTTTGCCCTACGTTTGAGGGAGGACGTAAGAGCTCAACTCCTCTACAGCCTGTCCGTTGACTGTATGCCCATCTGCCCAAAAGCACCATCTCTCAGTGCTGACAGTCTGCAGCGTATGAAAAAGCTTGCTGTATCAGCCCCTGGTCTCAGTCTCAAAATGTGAGTATTGTTGTTGTTTCACTGATTTCCGCTTTCTTATTGTGCTCTACTGATATAAAAAAGTAAACAGCTAAAAGGGTTAAGAAAGGGCATACTTTGTATGTAGTTTGGAGACATGTTCAGAGAACCTGGAGGAGGAGGTCAAACTTGATTATGACCGCGTTATGAACCGCATGGTTTTTGACAAAGTGGTGATGAAGCACCCTGGAGAGTTTCCACATGTCACCCTGCCACTGAAGAACCCTGAGTATATTCCTGAAAAAGGTGAGACCATTAACTTTCTGATTTTAAAGAAATAAAGAACTTCTGCAACTATGTTTTGATGCAAACACTGGTTTATTTTCCCAATCTAGGGTGTGTACCAGTTCCAAAGTTTACCTATGAGAAGTACCGAGAAACATTTGAGTTCAACTGCCTGTTAATAAAGCCGGAGCTGACTACTTTATTATCTGAAATGTGGTCAGAATGCAACAAAGTGGCAAAAATGAGGCTGTTCAGTGTCTCTCCGATGAAACCACTTCGACTGGACGAATTTGAACTCATCCAGTCTCAGATTCACACTCAGGTACTCGCGCGCTGTAAGCGCATTGAAATGCTTTTTATTCTAAGAATGGTTTGATAATCATAATACTGTTTTGAAAAAGTTAAAAAGACAAATAAGGGCAAGATTAAAAAATTGTTTGAAAGGGTCAGCAGATTTATTTTCAGCTGTAGTTAAATCTATAGTTTTTTCAGGCAAAATTATTCCAAACTTCCAGTTTTCCTTTGAATAGTTACAGACCACAATTCAGAGAATTTAAGTGCCTGAAGAGACTATTTCTTCAACATGTTAGATAGTTTAGAGCAAAGTCATATACGTTTCATCCTTATGCTAGAATTTCATAGAAATCTAAACACCCCAAATCCTTTTTTTTGTTGTCCAGATAAGGCTGTACGTTCAGGAGGAATGGGTTGTCACAATGAGCAACAACATCCGTACCACCTTGTGTACCTTTGGCAAGGGCACGTACAACATAGATGAGAATGATTTTGAGATATACACGTATGCCAATCTGTACAGACTGATGAACGTGGTGCTCTTTAGCATGCAGGACGCCTTGCACTACCTTGTGCAGGATTCACTTTTCAGCCTGACTGAGTGTTTGCTGGAAGTCTGTCACAATGTACTGACTTGTCCTCAGGATATGGTCTGGGGAAACAACCTTAACAATAGCCCCTACACGTAAGCAGATGTTTTCTATTTAGCATATACATTTATATATAGGCACACTAACATTTCTATATTTTGTATATTTAGACAAAAGAGGAATCCTCTGTTCCTGGTTGACTTGATTCTGGACCAGAGTGGGGTTCATTACAGCACTCCAATTGAGGATTTTCAGAAATCTGTCCTTAACCTGTTTGATGAAAGCATCCTTGTTACACACAAAGTTTCAAAGCTCGATGGGGTAAAAACAAAACAAAACACATCACAGTGTTGCAAAGTGTTCCATGAAAAATATTACCACATTCTGTTGTCTCTATGTTGATAATGATTTGAGTATGGGAGAATTTACTGTTGTGCTCTTGTTCCAACCAGTTTGTGCTGAAGAACATGTTTTATCAAGATGATCTTTTACTCAGAGCAGTCGATTTGTGTGACCCAGAGGTGAATAAGATGAGAAATAAAGTGCACAAGGCGCTGGTTCAAGCAGCAATACCTCTCAGGGCTTATGCTGCTGAATATGAGAAATACTTGGAACTTCATAACTTGGACATTGACACTCTTCTTGGGTAAGTCTGGACATTTTTCAATTCTATCAGATGTCTTGTCTATTCAGGATTCTGTCTGAACCGTATTCTGCAGTGAAATTTTCCCCTTTTTCTGCAATGCCTCTGTTGTTCGGCTGCCAGGTCTCATAATGCAGAGCAGAGAGCACAAGAGGTGAAGACAGAGGTGGAACAACACCTCGCAGAAAGGGAAAAGCTTGAACAGTGCCTGCCATCCTCCATTGTGATTGGTCCATTTTTTGTCCGCACAGAGGCTGTTCGTCAGTCTCTCATAAAGAAAAGGAAAGCTCTAGCCAATGCTCTGCTGGACCAACTTGCTGTGAGGCAGCGTAAGGAGATTGACAAAGTAAGTAACTTGTTGATGGGCCAATATTGTAATACTTTCCTTGACACATGGTGAAAATGTATGGGAAAGCTTTGTTCCACTCAAACTGTAAAACCTTCATGTTGCATTATAAGCCTTCTTTATGTGTTAGGCATGTGAGGAGTGTACCATTTTGAGCAGAAAGTTACGCGAGAAGCCCAATAGCATTGAAGAGCTCACTGAGAAGAGGGAATGGATTAAACAAATCCCCAAACTCCTAAAAAGTTACAAGGTATCAATAGTAAAGATGAAGTAGAAACTTTCATTCTGATATTTGTATATTTGTGTGAAAAAAATAATATCAGAGTATTGTATCTTTCCATCTTGTCAACAACAGGAACAACTTGGAAAAACCTTGTCAGACTATGAGATAATGGAGGGAACTTTCTACTGTCTGACAAATGATGATTTCAACAAAAAGTAAGTCTTTATCATGCCAATTTGAGCTATTTTAAAACAAATCAAAAAGTATTTTAGTATTGAGAGTACTTTATTAATGGGATTTTTGTGGTTAAAGTAAAAAGAGGAGGACTGTGGTGTTCAAATGGATTGTTACAGTGACTACTATGTGTAGGTGGACAGCCATTGGATGGCCTCAAAAGATACTTTGCCAGATAGAAACAGTAACTATCGAGCATGAAGAAGATGAGGAGCGCTTCCGCAAGATCCAGCTATCTGATCAGAGCAAGTTTGAGGAATATCTAGATTTTCTACAGGTGTGTGTTGCCTGACAGTTTGCTTAATGTTAGGTTGAGAAAATCGTGTTACTATCTTGTGTCACAAGTGACCTTAATTGTGTTTGTAGAAAATTATTACTGGCTTTGCAAGCTATGGAGACATCAATCATGCCCATGAGATAGCCATCAAGGTCAAGCGCACTTGCAAACAGCTCACGGAGTGCCAAGCCACAGCCAAACTGTACAACCTCAGAGAGGAGCTGCTTGGTTTACCTATCTCGAATGTAAGTGAAACAAAGCATGGGGATGACGGTTGTTTAAAAGGGTAATTTGATCAAAAACTAAAAGTGAAATGTAAATGTTTATATGTTTATTACAGTATGATCATCTAGAGAAGCTGATAAATGATTTCCAGCCTTTTAAAAACCTCTGGACCACCACTTCCGAGTGGCTGCGGTGGAATGAAAGCTGCCTTAATGATCCCCTGTCTTCGATTGACCCTGAACATTTGGAAAAGACTATGCGTGATGCCCAGAAAACCATAGAGAAGTGTAGTACACAGTTAAAGGACATTGCTGGTATGCAACATGTCTAGGGTCACTAAGACATTTTGCAGGATTTTGACCAGGACTAGACCAGTGTTTCATGCGCTCCTCTCTTTGCCCTAAACAACCCTAGATAGCCAAGTGGTGGCAACCATAATAATGAGCAAGATCGAGGAATTCTGGCCATGCGTCACTTTAATTCAGTGTCTGAGGAACCCGGGTATGAAGAACCGTCATTGGGATATGCTTTCGGAATCCATTCAAGTGAAAGTCAAACCCAAAGCCAACTTGAACCTTACCCGCTACCTTGAGCTGGGCCTACAGAACCATGTGGAAGACATAAAAGATATGGTGGAGTTGGCTGAGAAAGAGTATGCTATTGAAAAGGTAACTTTAGAGGGGTTATCTTTTAGGGTTGCATTTGGTGTTTTGAATAAGATTAGTAAAGAATGGAGCATCATTGCTTCTCAGTTACATTTTTAATTAATTTGACCTCATGGGAAGTGGCTAACGCTACAATATGAGAACAGCAACATCTCCACTAATCTCTTTGATGATACAAAGTTTAATCTTGTGACTGTTTTCACTAATTTTATTGTGACATTTTTCTACTTCCTGATCCAGACTCTGGAAAAGATGAATAAAGAATGGTCGACAGTAGATTTTGATTTGATACCCTATAAGAACACAGGAACACACATTTTGGGGAGCCCAGATAAAGCATTCGAAATGCTGGATCATGACATTGTAACCACCCAGACAATGTCCTTCTCCCCCTTCAAAAAAGCATTTGAGGGACGCATCGATGCCTGGGAGTGCAAGCTCAGAATGATTCGAGTACACACACACATACATACACACATGCTCATTTGCTTGTCTCATATTTTTTGTTGCCTTCTCTTATGTTGTTATACTGCCCCCTTCTGGTCAATATAGAACGTGTTGGAAGAATGGCTGTTTTGCCAGCATTCCTGGTTGGCCTTGGAGCCTATCTTCAGCTGTGATGATATAAACCAGCAGCAGCCTGTGGAGGGAAATCTATATCAGCGGATGGAGGTGCTATGGAAGAGCATCATGCGAAGTGCCTTTGAAAATCAAAAGGTTGAACTTTCTGTTGTATTTTAGGACAGTAGGTTAGAGTTGATATCTTTTTATCTTAGCACATGAATAATAATAATGGTGCTTGCCTGTATCTTTGTTCATTTCTAGGTGATTGAGCTCTGTACAGAAGCTCAACTACTGCAAAAGCTTAAATATTGCAACATGCTTTCGGAAAAGGTTCAGAGAGGTCTTGTGGAGTACTTGGGGAAAAAACGGAGCTCCTTTCCGCGGTAAGCCACTGAGAAGTAATATTTTCCTCAACTACCAGTGGATGCAACCTTACAATATTTTTGATTAATAATAAACTTTCATGTGCCAGCAGTGTAACAATGAGAGCCCAAAATTGTTGGCTGTTATAAAAATGATTGATCTTTGATGCAATGTGATGAAACAAACCCATATCTTGACATATACCACCAACACTTTGTATAATTCACAGTGCAGTTAACATTTCTTTGTAGGTTTTTCTTTCTGTCTGATAATGAGCTCCTGGAGATTTTGTCTCACACCAAAGACCCCACTACTATTCAACCATACCTGAACAAATGCTTTGAGAACATTGCACAGGTTGGCTTTGTCTTACTAAAGGATTCTGCATGAAGATTGTATGTGTCAAAAGAATATAGCACATCTACCACATGGCTAAGTCATCTGCTGGTTTTTAGCTTCAGTTTCAGTCAGACCTACAGATAACACATATGTACTCTGGAGGAGGCGAGGAGGTGAAACTGCTAATGCCAGTGCTGCCGACTGGGGATGTGGAGGCCTGGCTGAGAGATGTGGAGATGTCTATGAAGGCCACTTTAAGGGATAACATTGACCGCTCTTACAAAGCCCATTCTGAAGTAAGACAATCATTGACTATCTATTTTTTTTACAGTGTCAAGGCAAATTATTTTCAGATTAAGATTTTTACATGCACTTCACCCCCCCAGCAACCTCGTGTGGAGTGGGCGTTATCGTGGCCAGGTCAAGTAGTGATAGCTGGCTGCCAGGTCATTTGGACTGCGGAGGTGTCTGAAGCTCTAGAACAAGGAGACTTGGCTTCCCGCCTTTATCCCCAACTTCAGTCTCAGGTGGGGGTAAATGTATCAGACTCTCTGATGAGCAAACTAAACAAAATATTTCACAGCTTGTGGAAAAAATGAGTATATTTATTGTTCACTGACCTTAATATTCTAACCTCTGTATGTGAAGCTGGATGACTTGGTGCTGCTGATGAGAGGACATCTTTCTAAGATACAACAAGCTGTGCTGTCTTCCCTCATTGTAATAGAGGTTCATGCTAAGGATATAGTGGCCAAACTGGTGGAGCAGAAAGTCTCGACCATCGATGATTTTCAGTGGATCAGCCAGCTTAGGTTACCTGTTTACTGAAGTATTTTTGAGCATAAATTTCTAATCTTTCTTACCTTACATTGATCTGACACTGTTTGCAGATATTACTGGAGAAAAGAGGACTTGTACGCTCAATCAGTGGATGCAGAATTCTTGTATGGATATGAATATCTTGGTAATTCTAGTCGCTTGGTCATCACCCCACTTACTGAGAGGTAACCTTTAACACTGTTGGTTCATCTGATGAATTTCTAAGAATACAGACTACTATTGAATACCACGTACCTGCTCTTTCAGGTGCTACTTAACCCTAACTGGAGCTCTAAACCTGAAATTTGGAGGTGCACTCACAGGCCCAACAGGGACAGGAAAAACAGAAACTGTTAAAGATCTGGGAAAGGCTCTGGCCATTCATACAGTGATTTTCAATTGTTCCAATCAGCTGGATTTTATTACTGTAACCAAGTTTCTCCACGGACTGGCCAGGTAAAAAGTAGCCACTGTGAAAGAACGTCAGTTCACAGGACATGCCTATTGTGAGAAATCTTATCCATTATCAATGTTATAGCTCAGGTACCTGGGCATGCTTTGATGATATCACCTGTGTGGATGTGGATGTCCTGTCTGTAATGGCTCAACACATCTCCACCATACAAAAAGCCCAGCAACAAAGGGTGAGCAGCAGATTAACTGATATTTTTAGTCTCGTCCTTAGTGGACTTCATACAGTGTTCATACAAAATTATAATAAGTTTTTAGAAACAGAAATAAAATACGTTTTTATTTTATGTGAGTTGTTGTTGGAATGACAAGAAAGAAACAATTAAAGAGGTTTCTGTTTTTAGGTTGAGCGTTTCATTTTTGACGGAGCAGAGATATCTCTTGTCCCCTCCTGTGCTGTATTCTTCACCATACGCCTTGGTTGCACTGGCTACACCACAATGCCCAACAATCTCAAGGTGAGCAATCGTTTCAATTCCAGTAATTGTGTGACACATAAGATAAGATGGTGGGCTTTAACAATATAGGAAATTATTTTATACAGGTCCTGTTTCGTCCTGTAGCCATGACAGTTCCTGACAGTGCAATGATAGCCGAGATCTCCTTGTACTCTTTTGGCTTCAGTAATGCCAAAGTCCTTTCCAAGAAGATCGCTACAACTTTCAGGATCTGCTCTGAACAACTTAGCTCTCAGGTGTGAACACAAAGAGGTCCTGGATTTACCTGAACTGAGATTTTTTTTAAATTGTTGTAGGTGTGTACATGTATGAAAAAGTAACATAAAAAATTTGACTTTGTGTCTTTATTCTTTCAAGGATCATTATGACTTTGGCATGAGAGCTGTGAAGAGTGCAATCTCAGTTGCAGCAACCATGAAGAGAGAAAACTCCAACATGAATGAGGTGAGTTATATTTCTTTGCCTGGTGTAGATCTTAAGTGGCTATAAGTCAATACAGGTAAAATAAATGACAATTCAGAAGCTTCTAAATTTGATCTTCTATAATGTTGTGTTTTTTTAGGAGTTAATCTGTCAACAGGCCATTCAGGATATCACTGTGCCAAAGTTGTTACAAGATGATCTAAAGCTCTTCGATGGCATTGTGTCTGATCTTTTCCCTGATACAAAACAGAAGATAATCAATGATGGTACACTGGAGCATTCGCTGTGTACCATCTGTGCGACTAAGAACCTCAAAGATGTGGATGGTTAGTGTTTCTGAGGGGAAGTAAACACAAAAGAATATGTTTAATTAAAAACTGAGACCTGAATAGTATTTTGGTAATTGTAGGGTTTATCACTAAGTGTATTCAGCTGTATGAGACCATTGTGGTGAGACATGGCGTGATGTTGGTGGGACCTCCTGGATCAGGAAAAACAAAGGTAAGGACATATAGGTATTGTGTTTACATTCTTACTTTCAAAATCTTGACAGTGATTTGCATTTGATAATTTTAAGTCTATTGAATTGAATTGAATTGATTGAATTGAATTGAATTGAATTGAATTGAATTGAATTGAATTGAATTGAATCAATTCAATTCAATTCTTACTTTCAAAATCTTGACAGTGATTTGCATTTGATAATTTTAAGTGTAGTTATCGTTGTAATAAGAAATAACTTGTGTGTAGTGTTACGAGACATTAGGTGCTGCCATAACAGCTCTGGAAGGCCAGCATGCTGCAAAGGGTGGTGTGTATGAGGCTGTTCAGATTCATGTCCTCAACCCAAAATCTATCACCATGGGCCAGCTCTATGGGGAGTATGACTCACTCACACATCACTGGTAAGAAGACCTTTTCTAAACAACCTTCACAGCTTATAAAACAAGTACCCACATTTTGGTCATTCTTCCACCCTTGTAGGAGCGACGGCGTCCTCTCTGCTCTTATGCGTGATGGGGCAGCATCTGTGGACAAAAAGAAAAAGTGGTACATGTTTGACGGGCCAGTGGACGCTATGTGGATTGAAAGCATGAATACTGTGTTGGATGACAACAGAAAATTATGTCTAAGTTCGGGGGAAAGCATAAGACTCACTGATGTAAGAAGAATGATAATCTAAATAGGGATTTTCAGTTAATATCCTTCCTTTGCTTCCATTTAAATCCGGTCATGCTCCTCTTACAGGCGATGACAGTCATGTTTGAGGTGGAGGACTTGGCAGCTGCCTCTCCAGCGACAGTGTCTCGCTGTGGTGTGGTTTACTTGGAGCCCAATATTTTGGGCCTCTCCTCCTTCACAGAGTGCTGGCTGAAACAGGTCCCTAAGATCATTAAACCACACACAGAGCAGCTGAAGCACCTGTTTTTCAGGTTCCTGGAGGTCAGAAGTGGATCATTATCAGTTTTACCAGAAGACATAAATATGAGTTTTTCACCCCCGAACCCTATAGTAATACGTATCCTTCTCCTGCTTTCTTAAACAGGACTCAATTACATTTGTGCGTACATCAGTAAAAGAAGTCATCCCATCTCTGGACAGCAGCCTTATTTGTAGCCTTCTGAAACTGATGGAGTGTTTCTTTAGTTCACTGAAAGTTGAAAAGGTTTGTGTCCACTGACACAGTAGTTACATCTGTCTATGCTAAATGTTCAGTTACACTTAAAAACAGACAGCTCTACAGTTTTGTGCTGTGTTAAAAACTGTGATATTCTCTAAATGAATCTGAAACATTATCAGCATCTATCTTAATGTTTTCAAACAACCCCAAAAAACTGCCACAAAATGGATTTATTTACATGCATATTGTCAGCCTTGTAATTTGATCAGTCAAAAATTCCCACAGCAGTGACATCGTTTTCTATTCATTCTTAACGTGTGAGTATTGTCTGAATATAGCTTTCCTCTTGTCTTTTAGAGTGAGATGCAGCAACCTCTCTCGGATCGTCTTAAAGAGCTGATCGAACCATGGTTCTTTTTTTCACTGGTGTGGAGCATAGGAGCTACTGGAGATCAAGTTGGTCGCCAGCACTTTTCAGCCTGGCTGAAAAGCAAAATGGCAGAAGAAAAGGTCAGATTTCAGTGTGGGCTTCATCATACCAATGAAAGAATCTACATCAAATATTAGTTGATGCAATTAACATACAGTTTTATCTCTTTTCTGTCAGATTAAGTTGTGTTTTCCTGGAGAGGGCCTGGTATATGACTACAGGGTTGGTGACTCAGGGATTAGCAATGCAGAGAATCAAGATGTACAGAAGGAAAGAGAAGTAAATACATAAATAGAAAATATACACATTACAAATTAAATAGAAGAAGTAATTGTTCATTTTCTAATAATCATTATAAGCTTTAATTGTCCATCGTCATTGCTGCTGGTATGGATGGCCTCCTGTATATCTGTGATACACTGACGCACCTAAGAACACTTAGTTCCCTTCATTTTTTTTTCTTTGCTTTAGGTTCAGTGGGTCAGCTGGATGAAATATGCAGAAAGTGTTGCAATCCCACAAGTAGATTTTCCTGGAATTTTTGTTCCAACTGCTAACACGGTCAGAACATCTTTCCTGATGGAGCTGCTATTGACAAACAAAAAACCTGTGAGTGCAGTACCTTCCACTCTAATATTGTTACAAATATTCCAAAACAGTGAAATATTGGGGTTGCATACCTTCTTCTGGCATAGTTTTTTTTATCTGAATTTGCTCATGTGTGATCCAGATGCTGTGTGTTGGGCCTTCTGGTACAGGGAAGACAACGATGATGTTGGACAAGTTGCTGAAGAACATGCCTGCTGAATATGTCACACACATTTTAATGTTCTCTGCCCACACCTCAGCCAACCAGGTTCAAGATTTCATTGACAGCAGACTAATCAAAAGGTGCACTTATAAAATCACGTGAAGACCCAAGCTTTGCTAAAAGCTTTAAAAAATCTATGCATTATTTAAAAAGGAGCTCTTTTAATGCTTTCTGGAGTCTTTTACATAGCAGACTGTTGAGTAGGACCTTTATTTTTTAGTCCCTAACCAAATCCAGCAAAAATACTCCCTTAATTGTTACATATTTTATCTCAAACTAACATGATATACAACTAGCCAGACAATGCTTGCAAAAATATGTTTGAGCTTTATTTTAAATGGCTGTTTATGCTTGTGTGGCAGGCAGAAAGGTGTGCTTGGACCTCCAGCTGAAAAGCAGTTTATCTTCTTTATCGATGACCTAAACATGCCTGTGCTGGAAACTTCTGGGGCTCAGCCTCCGATAGAACTGCTGAGGCAGTGGACGGAACATGGTGGCTGGTATAACAGGAAGCAGATCGGTGAAAACATACAAACTTTATATATATATTTTTAATTATCCTGGTCTTTGTTTTCTGTAGACTATGCCTGTGGTTGTTCTGATTTTGCAGTGATCTATGTTGCTGTACTCTACCTACAATATTACCGTAATCATAGATGTCACATGGCTAGGATTAGTGTTTTCCTAGAGTTATGGTGATTTTTTAAGCTTGCTTGGGATTGCTTGGCTTAGTGTTTGATTTTGTTTTTATACAGGGGCTTTCGATCACTTGGAAGATATTAATTTTGCATTGGCCACAGAAACTCCAGGTGGGGGGAGAAACCCCATCACTCAGCGCTTCACACGTCATTTCAACATCTTGTCCTGCATTGACATAGAGGATGCCAGCAAGAAAAAGATTTTTTCCACCATTCTAGAAAGTTGGATGGGTGAGTCAAGGCTTTATTTTATTCATGCAGTAAATACTGTATATGGAGGATTTTAAAAAGGCACCAGTCCTTTTGGAGGTGTCTCTCACACTCTTTTTTTGTCAGTTTGTTGTCAAATAATCCTTTTCTTCTGTTTCTTATTTTTTCTTTTGTTTGTTTGATTTAACAGGACCTGTGTCTGAAATCCGGCCCCTGAATGAGCCTATTGTTAATGCCACGATCCAAATCTTCAGAGCAGTTACCTCTTATTTCCTCCCAACTCCGGCAAAGTCCCACTACACCTTTAACCTCAGAGACCTGTCGAAGGTTTTCCAAGGCATCCTCATGGCTGAGGCTAGCATAATAGAGGTAGTCAGATCCAAGATAATTCAACCATGTCAGGAAAACACACGTGGCTGATATAACTTCTTACAGTTTTTTAAAACTATTTATGCTACTTGACCCAGTAGGCATATTACATGTGCCCCAGTGAGATAGCTTGATGATTACAAGCACAACATATAAGCAATATTCTTACTGTATGTAAAAACAAAAACTGTAGGGAAAAGAAAATTAAGCATTACTCCACATCTTAAAATCATGTATTCCTTATTTAAATTTTCAGAATAAATCACAGCTGCTGAAGCTGTGGTACCATGAAAGCTGCAGAGCTTTCCAGGATCGTCTTGTGTGTACTGAGGATAGAGAGTGGTTCAACAAGCTCCTGAAGGATTGTATTCAAGAGTTTGAATGTTGTTTTGATGAAGTTGTGCCCTGCCACCCTGTTCTGTATGGAGATTTTATGATTCCTGATGATGCTTCTAAAGTCTACAAACTCATAGATGACAAGGAAAAGGTGAGCGGAGTCACTTTTTGGTTGTACAGATCTGTCACCCAGTTTCTAAAATGGATTTTATGGATTGTGCTTCATCGAACTGTTTCATCATTCTCTCATGATCCTGTCTTTAATCCAGTTTACAAATTGTATTCCTTTGTATGGCATTGTCTAGCTGACAGAAGTAATGGAAAAATACATAGAAGACTACAATCATAGCAGCATGTTTGAGATGAAGTTGGTGCTTTTTATGGATGCTATTGAGCATGTGTGTCGGATCAGCCGCATCCTGCGCCAGCCCCAGGGCCATGCTCTTCTACTTGGAGTGGATGGAAGTGGTCGCCGCTCTCTTGCTAAACTTGCTTCATATATGTGAGGCTTGAACACATTTTATTTACTTTTTTCAGATGACTGAATTATTTTTTTTCACAAAATTTCAACTCACACAAATGTGTTCCTAGCATTTTTGACCCCAGGCAAATTTGTGGAATCTATTTGTAAAGCTTTTATTAACTAACAAAACAACTATGATTCAATATTATTGTGACAAATAGGGAGAGACCCACTGTGTTTTTCTATGATGGTGTGACCTTTAATCATCCATATTCAGGTCTGGGTGTGAGTGTTTCGAGATTGAGACATCTAAAAACTATGGCCGAACAGAGTGGAGAGAGGACATTAAAAAAGCCCTGCTTAAGGCTGGCCTTCAAAACCGGAAGATCACCTTCCTTTTTGCCGACCTGCAGGTTTGCAGAAGTGTTTTCTCAGATGAAAGTTTTTTTGGGGACAACAGCATCAATACTAAACATGTATCCAAAATAGTGAAAATTTTTAAATCCTTTTAAAAATCCTTGTTAAACATCTGTGTTAAATATTAATTTGCCAGGTTAAGAGTGAGTCATTCCTGGAGGATATCAACTTCATTTTGAACAGTGGTGACATTCCCAAACTGTATGCATCAGATGACCAGGAAAATATCCTCACAACAATGAAGCCATTGGTACGAGACCTGGGCCAGCAGCCAACTAAAGAAAATCTCATCGCTCTCTTCATCAGGAGAGTCCGCAGAAACATGCACATTGTACTCTGTATGAGGTAGGTGGCAGCATCTTTTAAGTTGGTCCTCTATTTCTGTTTTCATCCTTCCTCTTTTTTTTCTTCCTGCAGCCCTATGGGTGAGGTATTTCGTGCACGGCTACGGCAGTTTCCTTCACTGTTGAAATGTTGTACAATAGACTGGTTCAGCGCCTGGCCAGATGAGGCTTTGCAGTCTGTGGCTACATCATTTCTGAATGAGTTACCTGAGCTAGAAGCGGACCCCACAACAATCAGAGGATTGGTAAGGATCCTGTATCTGAGCACTTGTGTGTCTGCAAGGCCTATTAAACAGCTAATGTTGTATGATGTAAATGGAAAATCTCATACATTCACTGATTTTACCATTTGTTAGTTTTGTCAAACCTATCCTTGACAGATTTTTTTGTGGTATTATTAGGGACCTTATTCATATATGTGAGATCTCTTTCCTTTAGGAAGTTGTGTTGGTCAACAGCTCTTTGCAAGAACATATTAAAATTGCAACTTTTACAGAACACAGAATATTATACTCCAACAAAGAAGTACTGTACAATTCACATAACCTGCCAGGCTTAGCTGAAAACACTGTCAAATTATTTTGACTCCTAAAGCATACACGAATATACCACGTAACTCTTTTATGGTGGAATGATTTAAAATGGAAAATAATTTATTTAAAATTAATTAATTTAAAATTTAAAATGAAAAAAATATATGAAGCTGAAAAACATATATCTTATTTTTTCTGAATGACTCTTTATGTAGACACAGATGTGCGTGAGGATTCACCAGGTGGTGGCCAGGAAGAGTGAACAGTACCTGGTGGAACTATCTCGATACAACTATGTCACACCCACTTCCTACCTGGAGCTGCTCACAATCTATTCAGGTCTCATTAGACGCAAGAAAAATGAACTAAGCAGTTCTTGTCAGGTCATGAAGACAGGTCTTAACAAGGCAAGCTACTGGACAACATATAATAACATCATAAATGTAATACATTCGGTGTGTGATGTACTGTATGGTGGATCCACAGCTTCGAAACACAGCTGAATATGTGAGTAAGGTACAGGAGGACTTGGGGATTTTGAGGTCTCTTTGGGAGGATGCTAATAAGGATGCTGAGGTCACTATGGAAACCATCACAGTAAGTAGAAGCCATACAAAATGCAGATAGTTTGACTCTGAATACACTATACTCTGATTTGTTCGGTGGGCCTTTCACAAGTTTTAAAATGATATTATTCTTTGTAGAAGTCACAATAGTCAATAATAGCAAACTTGGTGGTTTTTTCTTTCTTTATCTGTGTTTAGAAGCATTCCTATTTGTAGTTTGTGGATGATGAGTGTAAGTTATTATGTGTGTTGCTAGAGAGACACAGCGGTTGCAAAGGAGATGCGCAGGTCAGTGCGAGAGGTGGAATTTAAAGCTTCAGAGAAAGCAGGTTTTGTGAGAGTCATTGCAACAGATGCTCAGAGAGACGTAGACGGGGCTTTGAAAGCCGTGCATGCTGCCCTCTCCAGGCTTCAGTCACTCAGCTTGAACACTTTTACAGAGGTATGGGATTTGGTTTGGATTGTTCACAATATTCTTATATGATAATGCATTACCAGCTTGTAGATTTTAGATCAGCAAGTAATCAGTATTTTATTATTTCCTAGTTGCAAGCTATTCAGCAACCTTCCCAGAGCATGAAACTTGTTTTTGAGGCCCTTTGCATAATGAAAGGCATCAAGCCGGATAAGCTACCTGGAGACATTGACGACTACTTACAGCCAGCCAAAAATCTTCTGCAAGACCCCAGCAAGTTTCTGGAGAGCCTCACTGATTTTGATAAGGTGACGTATACATCTACAAGATTACTGTCGTAAAGCTTGTTGGATCATATTTTTTTTGTAGTTCTAATGTTTCCTGTGGGAAAAGCAGCTCAGTTTTTTTCCTCATAAGTGTTAAAAGCAGACTTTGTTGTCACACATAATACAGGACAACATCCCAGGTCATGTGATCAGCTTAGTACAGCCGTACATTGACAATGAAGAATTTCAGCCAGATGCCATTGCCAAGGTTTCTGAAGTCTGTGTGCCAATTTGCCAATGGGTGCGAACAGTGTACACATATCACTTTGTGGCCAAAGCTGTGGAACCGAAACGGGTAAGAAGTACAATGCACAATAAAAAAAAAAGTTTTTTTTTCACAATAGAATTTCTAACTCCATTATCTATGTTAAACACAACTGTCCATACACACGCATTTATGTTTGGAATAAAAGTTGGAAAACCATTAAAATTGTGAATATTTGTGCAGCAAGCTCTCCTAGAGGCCCAAAAGCACTTAACAGCCACCCAGAGCACTCTGGATGATGCCCAGAGACAACTGACAGCAGTGGAGGGCAGAATTGCCACATTACAGGCCAAGCACCGAGACTGTCAGGCTAAGATGAATGAACTGCACGCCAAATGTCAACAGTTTGAGGCTCGCATCAATGAAGCAAACAAGGTCAGAGGGAAAGATCAGATCTAGATTTAAAAAGAAAAGGGAAAGTTGAACTCATCATCTGTTCTTATAAACAATGAACAAGGGATAAACTATTCCTTATGATTTCTTTTAGCAGATGTCATTTTTTTTTATTCATAAATGTTTCACTTTTTTTAATTTCTGATTAATCTCCAGCTGTTAGGTGGACTGGCAGAGGAAGAAGCACTTTGGACCAAAAAGGCAGAAAATCTTGACTCTATGGTCAAAAATTTTGCAGGTGACGCTCTTCTGTGTGCAGGATATGTGGCATACCTGGGACCCTTCACTGTAAGTTTTGTTATAGTGTATATGAAATTTTGAAATACCAACATTTGTGCATTTCAAATCAATTTGGGTACGTGAGTACTCATGTGTGCCTATGTGATCCTATGTGGGCATTTATTTGTGTTCGGCCCTGTGTTTAGGGAGAGTACCGGGCAGCCGTAGCTGGAGAGTGGCTCCATCTTTTCAAAGATTTGAGTATTGCACATACTGATGCACCCACCTTGCTCAACACTCTGGGAAATCCTATCAAGATCCACTCTTGGCAGGTCAGAAACATACCATTAGCAGACATTTAATGTTGAAGCATATAATAGAAATGGAACTGAATAATAGTATTTGTATTTCTTTTTTGTATGTCTTAATTTTTTGTGTTTTTCATGCCTCTAGACCTGGATAATTCTAATTTATAATCATTTGTCGTCATTTTCATGATTTCTCATTTCAATATGCATAGTTGTCAGGTCTCCCAGAGGATCCTTTTTTGATGGAGAGCAGTGTGATATCCCAGAATTGTCTTCGCTGGTCGCTGTTTATAGATCCTCAAGGTCAAGCTAACAAATGGATCAGAAACATGGTGAGGTGCATTCTTTTACAGATGTTATTTACGAAGCCCATTAGGATTCATAAACCCAAAGAAATTACATAGAAGATTTTCATTCATTGTTCAGATAAAATGCATGGTGCGTAATCAACTTAGCATCTAGGGATTTCTCTGCACAGTATGAAGTGCACATCTATAATAAAAGGTTCATCACATTTACTGAGATCTGCCTTAGTGTGTGTCAAATGTGTATTTACAAGAGGGAACCGTCTATTAAAAAAACAAATAATAATTTCATACTTGTTCCCTGTTGTGAATCAGGAGCAGGACAATGGATTAGTTGTTACGAGGCTTAGTGATGGAGACTTCCTCCACAGGCTTGAGAATGCCATTCGTTTTGGTAAACCCTGCCTGGTGGAGAATGTAGGAGAGGAGCTAAATCCTGCCATGAAACCTGTTTTGTTGCGTCAGGTGACTGCACACTAATCTACTGCAAACAAAATCGTCATATAGTAGTGTTACTTTAATATGAACTGCCAGCTGGACTGCCTAATTCACATATGTGGCTCCTAAACATTTAAGCAGGAAGGCAGCACTGTTCTGACGCTGGGTGAGTCAGTCATCCCGTACCATGAAGGCTTCAAGATGTACATTACCACCAAGATGCCTAATCCACACTACTCTTCAGAGGTTTCTGACAAAGTGTGTCTCGTCAATTTCACCCCGTCTACCAGGTAACACGCATCTTAAATTGGACATTTTTTCCCCTCCCTTTTAGAATGTGTCATAGTGTTTACTGAGACCAAAAGTCAAAGAAAACCTATATTGACGATGTATGAAGGACTTGTTGTAGTGTGCTAATATGCGGTTTTGAAATAGCTGATTGCTTAAAATGAATTTTAAAAAAAACGTTGTTTTATTATGTTATTATGTGTTATTTAGAAACCATTCATTCCTCTAGAAGTATTTTAGGATGTCTAAATAGTATGGTGCAGTTTCATTACATTTGTGTGACAGTACATTTCTCTTTATATTCAGAGGACTAGAAGAACAGTTTTTAAGCCGGGTGGTGGCTGAAGAGTGCCCTGATTTGGAGGAGGAAAGAAAGCAGCTGATAATCAGTAATACATTTGAAATAAAACAGGAGCTGGAAGAAATTGAAGATAAAATCCTCCAATGTCTCAGCTCAATAGAGTCAAACCCCGTGGACAACGTGGAGCTCCTTCTAATGATGGAGACCTCTAAGATCAAAATTGAGGAGATGAAGGTAAGACCGAAGGAGAGTTTTCATTCCTAAATTATGTTTCTCACATGAGCTCTTTAAAAAAAAAAAAACTCCCTTTAAGCTCCAATTGAGGGTTTGGTTTCTTTGGCAGGCTAAAGTGATGGCTGCAGAGAGGACTGAGCGAGACATTGAAGCCATCCGTCTGGACTATGTGCCGGTGGCTGCACATGCATGTCTTCTATTCTCCTGCGTATCGGACCTGTCCAATTTGGAAGCAGTGTACCAGTTCTCACTGGAGTGGTTTATCGGGATCTTCATGACAGCTATTGCCAACTCTAATAAAGCAGGTAAAAAACAAAATTATATACTCATGCATTTTCAGATTTAAACAAAGCATATGACTACAAAGCAAAATCATTGGCATTTGTTTAGCCAACTCATACAGAAACTACATTTAAATGTCAATAGGAATCGCATTGAAAGCTGATTATGACTAAATCAAAAGTCCATAACTAATGTGTAGTATGGTCTATATAATAATCCATCTGTCATTTCAAGTTACTCCGAGCACCACAAATGATTTGATTTGTCAGTTTAGCAATTATCATAATCGTAGTTATGATACCTGTTATTTCTAAGCAAGAATTCACATAAGTCAGTTGTGTTCATAATACATTTTCGACATATGTAATGTATTCAAACATAGAGTGAAAAACATTCAAGTGGTTCTTCTTTTTTTCTTTAATATATTTCTCACAGAGACAGTGGAGAAGAGAATCACCAACATCAATGATTTTTTTACTTTCAGTCTGTACAGCTCAGTCTGCCAAGGCTTGTTTGACAAACACAGACTTATGTTTGCCTTTTTTCTGTGTGCTCGCATCCTGATGAGTGAGAACAAAATCGACCCGGTGAGCAAAAGGGCCAATATTTGCGTGGAACTTATAAGATTCATCACGAGCCGGTGCATCTTGTCTTTGCAGTCTTGGTGACTCCACATTTTCTCTCTGTGGCAGGCTGAGTGGCAGTACCTGCTCTGTGGAGGTATGCCTGTTGAAGAGCTTCCTAACCCAGCTGAGGACTGGGTGTCGGAGCAGGCCTGGCAGGAAATGTTAGGCCTCAGCAGTCTTGAAAACTTCAACAAACTTGCAGAGACCTTCATCGAACATGTGCATGGCTTCAAAAAGATTTTTGACAGCGCGCAACCACACAGGCATGGAAAATTAAACTATAATGCTAACTACTATGTTAATAAGCATACTTTTCTTTGTTTGTTCAATGCAGGGTTATCAATATTGAATAAGGCTTTCTTTGTCTACTCTTGTCTGAAGGGAGCCTCTCCCAGGAGAATGGAACTCCAGATTGGACTCATTCCAGAAGCTGCTAATTCTTCGATGTCTGAGGGCTGATTGCCTCGTTCAGGGCCTGCAGGATTTTGTGTCCACTCATTTGGGACAGCGTTTTATAGAGCCTCAGGTTCATAGTCTGTCCTAAATGTTGCTTTTATGTCATGTTTTGTGCTTTTTTCCAAACCTGGTTTCTTCAGTTGTTGATTTCTCCGATAACGGCTTGAATGTGTGTTATTCCCCAAATGTGACAGTATTTCTCCTTCCGGCTTGCTGTTAAAGTCAGTGGCTCAAAAACCAGTCGCAATCCATGTTTTATCAACTGTGCATCGATGCTGGAATGTACACTATCCACTAGTTACAGTGCTAAAATCTTTCAAAGAGATCTTCTTGGAGTGGATGCATTCCCTTGGCAAAATGTCCACCTTGTGTGGATATAGATATGTGCACATAGTGGGCATCGAAAAATTGTTTTCCATAAATAGACTGCATGATATATGAATTATCTTCCTTCTGTCTTTCTGCAGACATCAGATTTGTCTGTGGCCTTCAAAGAATCATCCCCTGTAACTCCCATCATCATTGTCCTTTCTGCTGGCACTGACCCTGCTGAAGACCTCTACAGGTTTGCGGATGTAATGCAGTTCTCCAAGAAAGTGACTTCCATCTCTTTGGGTAGAGGACAGGTCTCTGACTTTAATTTTTCCTTTACTTTGTGTGTATTTTGCGGTTGCACTTGTTTTCTTTGTTTCTGATTGAACCACATGATTTGATTAAATGCAAGATTCTAGAGGTATTTAAAAATATGGAAATGAGAAGATTTTTTTGTTTTTATTTTTTTAAGATTAATTTGAACTCAATGCCTATAAGCCTTGAACTTTGCTGGTGTTGTTCCCCAACAGTACATTTTTTTTGTGGCTGTTTAATAGGATAATAATTTATTTGTATCACGTAACTGGCTGCTGTTTGTGTTAAAATGATTGTTTCATCCTTTGTTTTATCACCCTGTCCTCGATCTCTATCCACGTGGAACTGAGGACCTTTGCAGAAACACAGATTTCGCTGATCGTGCACACTTTGAACTCAAACAGTCCTATCTCTTAGGCTAAAACCTGGCATTTATTTTTATCAGTCAAGTTTTGCTTTAAGGTATCCTTTCCACTGCTGTTGTGTGATTCAGGGTCCCTTGGCCGAGACTATGATGAGTTCTGCTATGGAAAGAGGTCAATGGGTATTTTTCCAGAACTGTCACCTGGCACCCAGCTGGATGCCTACCCTGGAGAAACTCTTTGAAAGTATTGACCCTGTAAAGGTTAGAACATGTGTACAACAGCACACTGATATCTGGCAACTACTGATACAGTAAACAGAGCTTATTGATTTGGAATTCTTTTTCAATATAGATTTAGACCGAACACAGTCACTTTCTTTTCCTTAACTATTTGTATGTCCCTTTTTATACACAGGTGCATAAGGATTTCCGCTTGTGGCTCACCTGTCTTCCTAGTAAAAAGCTTCCAGCGTCCATTCTACGAAATGGATCCAAGATTACCCTTGATTCTCCGAAGAGCATCAAAGCCAAACTGCAGAAAACCTACATGAGATTCACAAATGATTTTCCTGTGTCTTCCACTAAGGTCCGTGTCTCTGAGTCATCCTCCAAATGAGCCTGTTCCCCTTCTTATAAACACCTCCTTCTTACTATTTTTGACTTAAATATGTGAACCTAAAACATCTGATTGATGCTGTGTAGTTGTTATATTTGCCTTGAATAGGGTTGTTTCTCTCCTCACTTCATAGGTGGGAAACTTGAAGTCGTTGCTACTGTCTCTCTGCTTTTTCCATGGAATTACTTTGGCACGAAGAAAGTTTGGCCCTTTGGGCTTTACTGTTCCCTATGAGTTCACTGATGACGACTTGAACATCTGCGTCGGCCAGCTGAAAATGTTCCTGGACATGTACCAGGACATTCCATACAAGGTTGTGAAGGGAAAGCTTTAATGTGCATTACATTATCTATCAGTCAGTATAGTAATAACATGCAGGCTCAAAATCTACGGTGCACAATACAATGCTATTATGAAGTGTTTCTTCTCCTTATTTATAGTTCTATTAAGTTCATTTTCATTTTATATGTAAAGCACCAAATCAGTAAAACCAAATTTCTTTAAATTCAAATGAGTAAAATGAATTCAATGCCATAAAAAAGTTCAGTTATAAATTCAGTAAGAAACAAGTAAGCTCTGCTCTCAGTCACAAATGTATGTGTGTCGAGCATGTTCATTTGTCTGTATCCCCTTTTTTGTCCTCCACCTGTCCAGGTTCTAAAATACACTGCTGGGGAGATTATCTATGGAGGTCATGTAACAGATGACTGGGACAGACGATGTTTGCTCAGTGTGCTGGGAGACTTCTTCTGTCCTGGTGCCCTGAGTGCTGATCATGTCTACTCGCCGTCTGGGGTCTATCGGCAAATAGACTCTAATCTGGATGTCAAGGTTAGATAAGCACAGGTGTCTTCAGGAGACTGCGGGCATTAGCCCTAAACTCTACAAATACATGCCCTTTTATCTCACTGCATGATACAGTGAAATGTAATACAGCATGCAGCAGTACCGATTCTTGCACCAATAGTCCAATATAAATCAAGCACAGAGGGGATAGTTTATATGTTCATGTTCACAACCACTCCAGTAAGGGACTCAAAGTATTATTGGGGATATAGTTCAGTGATTCATTTGGTACGGTTTTTCATTACTCCTTTGTGTGAGTTAGGACTCTAACAAAAATCTGCTAACAAAAATTCTCAATAACAAAAAGTGATGCTTTTCCTGTTCTTGCTGCCAGGAGGTAAGGCTGCAAGTATTTGTTTTATCAGCAGTCACATGACTGGAAATGATGTGGGATGTGTGTAGATTTTGGTGACAGTTTAAGCTCATAAATTAGACATGATCATTAAAAGCAGCCTGTGATCATTTTATTCAATCAAACCATGTCAGATTTTACACTGTGGGCCGCTGGAGTGACCCATTGTCATGGCAATTGTTATCCTAGGCTTATTTAGCATACATCCATGGTTTGCCCATCAATGATACACCTGAGATCTTCGGTCTCCACGAGAACGCCAATATCCGCTACGGCCAGAGTGAGACCTTCGCCCTGCTGGAAGCTGTGGTTTGTCTCCAGCCTCGAGCTACATTGAGTGGAGGCAAAACTCAGGAGGAGGTACAGCACACATATAGGCTGATGGATTTTATCCTCTCATTGGTCTTTTTATTGATACTTTTTCCATTAGTTATCGTATTCATAACAATATTTCATCCTCGTCCTGCCTGCTTATGTGTTACATAGATGGTGGAGGAGATTGTAGCAGATATTGCTGAAAAGATCCCCCAGCCTTTCAGAGTTAAAGAGGTGATTGAAAAGTACCCAGTCCTCCATGAGGAGTCCATGAACACGGTGCTCATCCATGAGGTTATCAGGTAAGATGAAGCTGCACCAGAAGGTGACATCCCATTCCATATTGAACTATGTTTAAGGTATAAAAAAGACACTGCCATAAATGTAGAAAAAAAAACAATTTTAAGATGGCTACGTTTTTGCAGTTGGATCTTTTTGTGGTGTAAATAGATCACTCATTCTGCTGAATGTTTCTATTAGAATCAGAACTTGCAGTCTCCAAAGTAAAAATTTGGCTCTGTAACTATAGTGTAATGACGGACATTTTATTTCTATCATTTTTTTTGTTTGTTTGAGCTGACATGCTTGATAAGCAATCATTAGAACTTTCTTTTTAAAGCAATTCTAATGACATAGAATATTACACATACATTTCTCAAACTGCACAGATAAGGTGGTGGGTGATCTTTCTCCCCTTGAACACTCCAGGATTTAGTTTTTTGTTTTGTTTTTCTCAGTTTCCATCAGAATTTTCAGAGGTCATTTCACCACAGAGATGTTTTTGTTTTGCATGCTTTCCTTAGATTCCTGAGATTTACATTCTTTGTATTTTTTACAAGGTGCTCAGTTTTTTTGAGTGGGGGTTTGTTTTGTCTTTCAGATACAACAAGTTGCAGGAGGTCATCTCTCAGAGTCTCTGTGACATTACGAAAGCTCTGAAAGGTTCAGAGGTGATGTCATCACAGCAAGAGCTAATGGCTCGTAGCCTTTTAAACAACATGGTGCCCGACGTGTGGAAGGCCAAGGCAAGACGCACTTCCCCAAACACATTTAGTTTCAGTTTTAGTTTAATTTTAGTTGAATTTCTAATGCATCTGACCATTAAAAGATTTTTTGGGGTCAATTCTGCCACACTAGAACCACACAGAACTATCAGCTTCAGCTCTTACCTGTGCTGTTCTTTTCCCAGGCCTATCCCTCTCTGAAGCCTCTTGCCTCCTGGGTGTCAGACCTGCTTCAGAGGATCGGTTTCCTGCAAAGATGGATCTCTAACGGCACCCCACCTGTTGTCTGGATTAGTGGATTATTTTTCCCGCAGGCTTTTCTCACAGGAATCCTCCAGAACTACGCCCGCCGCTCCGGCACCTCTATTGACGCAATTGAATTTGACACTGAGGTCTTTTGAACTATTTGTTCCTTACTACTCTATAAAATGTATAGAATGAATTTATGAATATTACACTGTTACAGATTTATGACGACACAGGCACCAACTGTCTTTAGCAACTTTGATAGTGACTCTGAAATGTAAGGTGTCCACTAACTCTGACCCACATTCTTCCCCATCCCCTCTGTAATGCCTCCTCCCTCAGGTGATAGTGAAGTCAGTGTCGGAGATAACAGAAATGCCTAGCACTGGCTGCTACATCCACGGTCTATTCCTGGAGGGGGCTCGCTGGGATAAAGAGGCAGGCCGACTCACAGAATCCAGGCCTAAGGAGCTCTACGCACAAATGGCCGTCATCTGGCTGGTCCCCAAACCGAACCGCCAACCTCCAACCTCTGGGGTCTACGTCTGCCCCGTCTACAAGACGCTCAGACGAGCTGGTCAGTGCATGGATGCCCGAAAAGCGATGCGGTGCATCTCTACAGTATAGAGCAGACAAATCTTTTGGGGTTTAACTCACATGCTCAGGTTTTACCTCATTTTACAGACGCATGTCTGAAACATTCGCCCAGGTTGTGAACTCTGTCACTTGGTGTTGTTATTTGGAGTTGGGGGGTGCTTGCTCGAGTGTTTGTGTGGATCTCCTCTTCGTGGTTTTATTACTCACCCAAAAATAGATTCCAGTTAGTGTCAAGTTTCACGAAGCTTGTGAAAGTGCAGCTCTGTATTTTCCACCCGCAGCATGGAGCTCACACCTTATGCTGGCTCCTCAGACTGTCTGGTGCGGGGATGGAAAAACGCAGGCAACTGCAGATTTCTTCCAGATGTCACTGAACATGCCTCTTTGTCTGTGTGCGTTTGTAGGTGCTCCGTCCACCACTGGCCATTCTGCCGACTGCGTGACTGCGGTGGAGCTGCCCTCAGATCACAGCCAGGGCCACTGGATCAAACGGGGTGTTGCCCTCATCTGTGCGCTAGATCACTGAATACATTCACCTTGTTTTTAGATAAATGCTTCCCACTTGCTCTTCACAGCCCGCATTGAGTATTGCTGTGTCAGACTTGACTTTATCTGATATTCCCCACATGACTTTGGTATGTTTTCTCTACAACCCTAGCCAGTGAAATAAACTGTAACTCACAATGAAGTGTTGACACGATATGTTCCTTTGTGAGTGTTTTCTTAAGGCAAAGTCACAAAATCTACCGCGTTATTAGGGTGAGATCTCAGTCGTTTCTGCTCTCCCCTCAAAAGCGCTCGCTGAACACACTGAGGTGGATTTCCGTCCTGCTCCTTTAAGAGGGCAGCGCAGGCCAATTGAGAAATACCGCTTGGCTGAGGGGGGGGGGGGGGGGGGGGGGGGGGGGGGGGGGGGTGGTGCTAAAGCAAACTGACGGTGACAGTGCCTTACCATGTGAATTCAACTGAGACTGAAGATCAACGGGAAACCGAGAACACTGAGTCAACAGATGACAAGACTCCTTCCACTTCAAGAAACCTGACAGGATTTTGATTATGCGTTAAGTAGTTTGGATTTCCCAGAGTGGCAAAGTTGATAGGGCCACTAATAGATAGGGACACATTTAAAAAAAAAAAAAAAGATCAGTGGCTACTTTGAAACAGCATTACAGATGTTCTGTGTCTCATCAGGCTAGCGGAAGACAGAAGCGGCTCTTGGGTGCGGAGTTGCGGCTGCCGGGGGTCCAGCAGATGCGTCCTTAGAGCTCCGCTCCTCACCCTCTCTCTCGGCTTTGCATAGTTCCCGGAGTCATCGCATTACTTTGGGCGAGTCCTCTTTGAGAAACAGGCCGGCGTGAACATGCTTCAGAATGAAAACGGGAAGGAAACAGCGCCGCTGCCCCCGAAAGCTGATGGAGCGGAGTCCGGCCGTCCGGCGCCGGACACCGAGCCCTCTCTCTTCCCCATGCCCGCCTATCCCAAGCTGGAAATAAAACGCAACGCAGTGACGGACGATTACAAGATCTCGAGTCAGGTTTTGGGCTTGGGGATCAACGGAAAAGTCCTTGAGTGCTTCAACAAGAAGACAGGAGAGAAGTGCGCTCTGAAGGTACTGAGGTCATCTGACTAATGAATAGCTGTTACTCAGAGAGGGGGCAGTAAACACCCCCACAGGTGTGTTTACACTCACTAAGACTAGTTTGCTATGTGTTTTCTATTGTTTCAATATAAAAGTAGACCATTTTACGTTTGTATAAACAAATAGATAGAATACGAATTTGCGCCATTTGCTGTTTGTTGTCTGAAAATGTTAGTTTTCCCATTTTAAAGTGTTTGACATGGCTTATTAGTTTCAACATTATTTTGCCAGGAGTTTGTCTAAAATATGGGCAAGTAAATGAGAAAACAAGTCTTTCAATGTAAGATTTTTTTTCTTATAAATATTTCTTTAAGTGTGCAGCACGGTGGTGTGGTGGTCAGCACCATGGCCTCACAGCAAGAGGGTTCTGGGTTCGAATCCCTGGGGGGAACCAGGATCCTTCTGTTCTTAGTTTGCACGTTCTCCCTGAGTCTGCGTGGGTTCTCTCCGGGTTCTCCGGCTTCCTCCCACTGTCCGAAATCCTGCATGTTAGGTCGATTGGACACACCAAATTGCCCTTGGGAATGAGTGTGTGTGGTTGTTTGTCTTTGTGTGTCTATATGTGTGGCCCTGTGATGGACTGGCAGACCGTCCTGGGTGTACTGCCTCTCGCCCACTGACCACTGGGATAGGCTACAATTTTCCCTGAGACCCCATTAAGGAATAAGCTGTTCCGAAGATGTATTGATATTTCTTTGTGTTATCTTGATGTAGACATGACTGTCTTGTGTGTCGATCAGACTTTGGTCACAGATACAGGAGAGTTTAAAGGGTACTGAACACATCCCATCTTTTTAAGGGTGGTCCACATGTATATTTGCCTGTGCAGCTCACTGTGTGTGACATGGAAGCTCCACCTTTCACAGGAAGGGATGCAAATTCATGGGCGTGTGGTCACTCTGGCCAAACACTGTGACATGTCCCACTTCTTCGAAAGGAAAACACGTGGATTGTTACGGTGACACCCTTTTCTGCGAGGAGTGGAAAACTCAGCCACTCCCTCACGCACGCATAGATGCACACGTGCACGGGTCATTTGGCTGTCACCTGTCACCACCGGGCCGCGGACTCGGAGATTTGCCGGCTTACAGTAATCCATCTGGATCTGAGTTGCCAAACCAGGCGGCAGCAGTGTTACAAGCAGAGCCGTCAGCAGAAAAGGGATGAAACGGGGCAGATAAAATGCGGCAGAGAATGGCAACCAAACGACGGCGGGCCAAAGGGGACAGGATGCTTGATAGCATCGTGTCAGAGTGGAGGGGCGGGGGAGTAGAAAAACATTTGCCACGTACAAGCGCCTGTTGAGAGAATACTAAAATGTATTCATAAAAAATGGAATCTAAGGTTATTTTCCTCGTAGAAATGTGGTCTTTTTACTGTTTCACAGCCTTAAATGTTTGTGTAAATATGTTGTTGTTTTTTTGGTGTGAATCAGAGCTTGTTTTAGTTTTTGTGTCTTAATGTAACTGCTTATTAGTGCTTCAGTGAACAGAATAAGAATCTACCAATGTGGGATTAGTAAAGTATCTTTTGATTTAAATTAGACTTCTATGAGAGACATTCGAGCTACTTGACAGGCTTTAGTTTCCTTCAGTGAACGTCAATTTCAAACCCCTCATCTGTCTTCTAAGGGCTCTGAAGAACTTGTTGAGAGGTTTCAGTGAGGGTAAAGAGGCACACTCCCATCTCACGCATGCATGTTTTACTCTTGTCTGGGCACCAGACAGCTCTGAGAGCTCACGTTCCATATGTTCTGATGAAGCGCACGTGGCCATCCACCCCCTCCCCTCCAAACCTCGGTTCAGGCCAGCCACAGCCGTCCAGATCGGGTGTAACGGGGCGTATTTTATGCGATCGGTCTCTAAAGAGGAGCAGCGCTGAGTGATGGGCCTCCGAGCTGGGTCCCACATTTTATTGCTGGCTGTAGGTCTATCAAAAATGCTTTCCGAGGGATTTTGGTCTGAACCTGTTCAGTCTGTAGTCCAACACTGATTCCAGGCTGTCAAATTCACTGAGATAAACAATGACATTAAGCCATTGAAGCTTTTTTAAATGTTTATGTGTGGCATTTGTCTTCTTTTTTTATTTAAAGTTAAAACAATTAGATGGGAAGAGGAGAAGCAAGTGTTTGATGCGAGGGGGGGGCTATAAATTGTCCAGCAGCTCTCTGGGTTTTTAATTAAGTGTTGCCCTGAGCCCTAAATGTAATGGATGGATGTAGGTTTTATCTTCTTTGCAGCAGATTTGGCTCCGAGCCACCTCTGTAATGCAATTCAGATACAGTCATCTTTTAACATGGACTGTGTAGCTTGGGGACAGAACTCAGGGCAGACCACTTAAACAAAGCTGTCAACTGCTTATGCCCTGCACACATAAGGCCTGTGTTTGTTAGTGAACTACCTCCCACCTCGCCATACAAACAGCTGGACAGGTAAACAGCTCTGTGCTTTTCCATTAGTGATCAAAACCTTTTTAGAAAAAGCTTTTCAGAATGCTCACCTGGGTGGTCAGCTGCAAGGCACGCTTTGGGCCCATTTAGGAGTCCTCTGGAACACCCACAGAACATAATGTCAGAGAACATAATGTGGCAGCTTGGTTAAGCACTACATGGGAAAAGGTTTTTAAGACGACCAACTGACTTTGCTCAGGCTGTTAAACAAGTTAATAAGTTCTAGAAGTTTGGGGCCATGGGGTCATTGTCTCAGAATGCATCCGCCTGATTTACTGTTGTGGTTCATGGTCTTTGTCGTCTTCTGAAGACATGGAGGTTGCTTCAGCGTAAATCGTTTTTGACTCGGTCTTTGGCCTGTACAGCACAGAGGAACCTGCTCTCATAGCTCGGTTGAACATCAACAGGGAGTTTTATGGACATGGTCTTGTGTTTCTGTACTCCATTGTGTTGAAGCTAGGATAAATAACTGTTTTGGTGTTTTTTTCTGATTCATTTTAAAGTATTTTTGAGCTTCTAACCTCCCGGTTATGCGGATTTAGATTATTTATTTATTTTACAATAATAAAAAAAAAGTAACCCTATTGAGTTTAATTCTTTCTAGAGTCCTTGCTGTAGACTTTATGGGCAAAGCTTTATTGGAAGACGGTTGTAAAGATAAACTACATTATGAAGATGTACACACAAGCTTCCCGACATCCACTAATATTTAATAGAGTGTAAACATCTTCCAGCAATTGAAGCCTCTATCAAGGTTCTGGTGAGAGGCTAATTGAGTGGATGGTTTCAGTTAAAAGTGCGTCTTAGTGTGTGTAAAGCTCCTATTAACACATATTGGATTGGTTAAGTGCTGGGATGTGGTTGATTGGTTTATGTGTCTGCCTGTTCATGTGTGAACAGAGTCTATCAGAAGATTAGTTGTCTCTTTCTCTCCGTCTTTTCTCTGTCTGTCTGTCTCCTCCTCTGTGTTTTCTGTGTGTATTTAATCCTTTTATTGCCGCCAATTCTGGTTCACTGCAGGAAATTAAAGACAGCACAGACAAGCTGCCTGCTCAGATTGAAGTCATAAAGCTATAAAAGACACAAGCCCACACAGTGCTTTGTTTGAGTCAAGTTCAGTGGGTGAAGTAGGAAAAAATAAGAGTAGTAGTAGATCAGCGGAAACCCTTAACTTCTTCTTTTAACGCCCAATTGTTGTCTTGAATCTTCACTTCCTCCTGAACTTCAGCCAGCCTCGACTTCATGACAAACTTTGAAACTGCTTTTTCTACAGTTGGAGTTTCCAGGAAATGTCAGATCACCCGCAGACTAATCTTCTTTCTTTTTTTTTGCCGCCGTTTTGTTGGCTTCGTGTTTACCCTACAAAGCGGTGGAGACTGACAGGGAATAGAGAGGAGAGAACAGGCAGACAAAGTTAGACTCCTCAGTTCCTGAAACACAGGCTCACTGCTGGCAGCGTTTGTGCTCATGTGCTCACAGGTGGCCTCAACGTTTTGATAATCTTAAAGTCACCTGTAACACAACACAGATTTATGGAGCGTGGCTGTCATGTGTCCATGAGTCAACTTGTGTGTGTGTGTGTGTGTGTGTGTTGAGTAGTGCCGGCCAGTCCGACCATGTGAACACCAGGAGATCACTTAAACACCGCCAACGTCCAAAAATACACCCTGACTGCATGGCATGTCAAAGTCTGCCACCAGCTCTAAGTGTGAGTGTGTGTGTGTGTGTGTGTGTTCATGTGCTTCATCTGCTCATGTGAAATACATTCCCCTGTGTGAGCAGAAGGCCTTAAAAGCTATACATATGTGTGTACTCAGCTTACAGGTAGAGCAGCTGTGATAAGCTGTCAAAAGTTTAGTTATTTTTACAAAGCCAGCTAGTTTGTAACTCTAACAGAATTGTGTTTTTTTGTGCCAACTTCTTCTCTCACAAAGCTGGACTTTTCTTCTTTAGTTTGAGGGACTTTCTGTCCATTATTTTTGTGGTTGTTTCTGTGTCAGGTTCACAAACATTACAATTCTGTGGCAGAATCAGGTCTGTCTTTAATACAGTGGGGTCTCAGGACAAAAAAAGTTTTTTTAGATTGTAAATTACACAAAATCCAGAGCTAATTATTGATTTATTTTGCATCTATTGTCCTGACAGATCCTCTACGACAGTCCCAAAGCAAGACGAGAGGTGGAGCTTCACTGGCGAGTGTCAGGCGGGCCGTACATCGTCCGCATTCTGAGCCTGTATGAGAACATGCATCACGGGAAAAAGTGCCTGCTTATTATCATGGAGTGGTAAGACAACATTCAGTCATTCACTTTGCACAGCGGCAAGTTGTGGTTATTTTAGTACTGAGTTAGAATTTTTCTGGTATTTACTTCTTCATTTTCAGATAAGAATAGAACTGAATTGAATTAAGAATTTTTTTTCCAGAATGTTAAAAAGATTTTGTTATTTCCAAAACTGGAATATTGAATCTTTTAAAAAAAAGAAGAAAAATTCCCCACAAAATCACATACCTGTGACGGCGAACCATATCAACCTGTCATTTACAGATTTGGGGGAATCCAGGGAAGGAAAATCCCATGTGTTTAAAATAGATATATGAAATACACAGATATCCAGTTTATAAACTCATAGATAAAACCGTAGCTTGTAGTTATTTTCTGCAGTTCAAATGTTCCTCAGCCTGACCAACTCCAATTGTAAAGACCAATCCCCATGAACGCTTTCTTGGTTTTGAAAATTGTCCTGAAAACAATGCTACTTTTAAATCAAACCTGTCTCTAAGCTCTTTGTCATCGGGCGCAGAGCGTTTAGAGACAGTCTAAAGGTCAGCCACAACACCTGCCGCCTGACGTAACAAAAGTGAAGGCATCGGCGTTGATGATGAGAAGCAGATGAGATTCCATTTCAGCCACGTGTGCCACAGCAACCTGTTTATAAGAACCACGGGGTCCAATGACAGTTATTCACCCTGTGTTTTTATGCCTTGACACATGTTTGTATCTGAAACCAGATTATGACATCGTCTGTGTGCGTGTATACGTGTACATTCGAAATGAGAGATTCACTACTGCTTCCTGTGTGATAGAAGGTCAGAGCAGGATGGTGGCTCGGCCCCGCCGCATCTTAGCTCACAGACAACACTCGATATTGTTTCATTCTCAGCTGGCTGCTCATCTGAGAACGGCAAAACGTTCAGAGATGAGCTCCGGAGGAGGGTTTCATCTATCAGCAAGTCGCCTTGTGATGTGTGGGAGAGAAAAGCCCACATGTCTGATTCAGCTCGAACTTTTGCTTTGATCCTGGTTGCCCTAAATGCGTGTAGTACTGTTGACCTTTCTGTTATGAATAATTAAAAAAAACGGAGTATAAAAAAGTTCAACGCAATCTTGTCAAAATGATGAGAAATTCTGACACCGTTTTCACTTTGTCCCAGTTCTTTACTAGAAGATGTTAATACTTCTCCCTTGACTGTTTCCATTCCTCTTAGTTTCACTAAACCCAGTGTAAACTTAGCGTATTCATTATTTCATTTTCACTTGCTTTGTATCATTTCTCCTAATGAGAGCTTTTGCACTACTCGAAGACACAGATGATCACTACACCAGTTCACCACATTTCTTATGGAATCTTACTTAGATAGCTTGTTATTAGAGACAGTTACTGTATTTCAACGATACATGTACTACATATAAGTTAATGTTTTTCGTGTCTAAAGTTCAGGAATAAGAACATTGTTCAAGGAGCAAAGCAGGAAAGAAATGACCTGGTTCGCTGTGGGTTGATTTCTGTCTGTAAAGAAAACAGGCGAAATGTGCTCCCTGTCACGTACTGTTGATATGATCAGTATATTTTTTTGTTTCTTTCATGCGAACATAGAGTAGAACCTTGCATGTACTTTTCTCTGTCTCCAGTATGGAAGGAGGAGAGCTATTCAGCAGAATCCAGGCCAGAGGGGACCAGGCCTTTACTGAAAGAGGTGAGGACAGGTGGAGGGATGGCCTGTGTAATAAATACAGTGTCTCTGACTGCATGGCATAAAAAGGGAACCTTTTTTCCTTTTCTTCAGTTAGAGACACCTTCACATATAGCTATACAGCTAGATTTCTAACTTTCGGATTCTACTGAATGCTAAATTGTCATGGAATCAGCAATGGTGCAAGTCTGGTGCTGGCAGGGAGAAGGAAGTTTGAGGTTGTGAGGGAAGGAACTGAAACTTGTGCCTGTAACCCTCTTCCATTCGAGTTTCTTTTTGCATGACATTGGAACTGCTTCTGGTTTGAGAGAGTTTCTCTCTCTGTTTCCTCCCAGAGGCATCTGAGATCATGAGGGACATCGGCACAGCCATTGACTTCCTGCATGACATCAACATTGCCCATAGAGACATCAAGGTACAAAAGGATCAAGATGGCATCACAAAATGGCAACGTGCATGAGGACCTTTGGCTATGAAATGTTTGTGTCCTGCTTTTCCAGCCAGAGAACTTGCTGTATACGACTAAAGAAAAAAAAGGGGTCCTAAAACTGACAGACTTTGGCTTCGCTAAGGAGACAACGCTACACAACCCTTTGCAGACCCCCTGTTATACACCGTACTACGTGGGTAAGCTGCCTAAGGGTGATTGTCCTGATGCCATTTTTTAGATTGATGGAACAAAAATTTGGAGGTTGGTGTTATGGGGAAATGAATTGAAAATTGTGGCTGAGTCATTTTCTCTCCCGCTAATCTCCGTTTGTATGTTTCCTTTGTGTGCTTGTGCCTTTTGATAAGCTCCTGAGGTTTTGGGTCCAGAGAAGTATGACAAGTCATGTGACATGTGGTCTCTGGGTGTCATCATGTACATCCTGTGAGTATGTTGATGGGGGTTTCTGATATGGTCTGTAGTCTGTACGTTAGTCTTTCTCTAGGTTTTACAGTGGCTCTTACTTTCTCTCGGTGTTTGTCTCTTCAGGTTGTGTGGCTTCCCCCCGTTTTACTCCAACACCGGTCAGGCTATATCTCCAGGGATGAAGAGGAGGATCCGGATGGGCCAGTATGAGTTCCCCAATCCAGAGTGGTCAGATGTGTCACAGGAAGGTGAGAACCCCACTTTGCTAGGTCCTGCCTGGCCATGATGAACATGTTGTTTTGATATATATGTTGTCTTTGTGAAAGCTTTGAGAAAAAGCTTTTTGTAAAATTTTGTCTGGCTGTTCACGTCAAGTTTTTCCAAGAACAGCTCCAAGATATGCACCAGAAAATGATGAATGGAGCACAGCTGCTGAGTGTATTTAAACTATTTTGTAGACTGGTACATGTCTTAATCAGTAAATGAATCCTGTGTATCTGATGGCCTCCAGGCTTGGCTGAAACTGTGCGATATCCACCCTGGATAGAGGTTAGTTTGGTTCATCCTGGTTTGGTTCATTGTAAGGGACAACTTCCTTTCTTGATATCCCAGTTGTTTTGTTTAGACCCCAGTGTTTGGGAGAATACTGTAGCAAGTCAAGTGAGTCTCAGGTTGCCAAGTTAATGTTTGGAACATAGCAAACCAGCCACCAGGCAGCTGTTAGTGCTGGAAAAGAGAGCAACAGAAAAACGGGATGTTGCAGGGAAGAATCCATCCCACTGGTCGGGACTGTGTGCATGAAAAAAAAAGAAAGAAAAATCTATATTTTCAACCGAGCATTTATTAAATTCATTTGTATTCATTTTAGCAGCCATTTTTCATTGTGGATATGATAGATTGAAAAATTATTTGAAAATTCTTCTCTCAGAGAACTTGCCCAGCTAACTTATCAGAATCAGTGTTGATGTGGCCTTCTCATGAAATGCGACACGGCAACAACAGGAAACCAGCACAGCTTTGACTGACTGCAGGTTGACTAAGTGACCTCGTCATTCAGATGCATTCTCACACAGAAAAGCTATACAGAGATTATCAGTACGCAGGATCGGCCGAAAACATCCAGCCTGCCAACTCTTTAAATGCACCGGGGAAACTGTATGATTTAGGTTAACCGGGTAAAAACTCCCGTCAGCCGCAGACATGTGCTCTGCATTACTGAAGAAAAACAAACTGTGTGTCTGTTTATTCTGCTACTGGTTAAATTTTTTGTTAATGCCTTTGCTTTCTCAGCTAAAGATTTGATCCACCAGCTACTGAAGACAGACCCCAACGAGCGAATGACCATCACCCTTTTTATGAACCATCCCTGGATCAATGTAAGTATCTGTGTGTGATGGATTCGTTACATACTTCCTGTTTTGTCTTTGTGTATATGTAAATGTGTGTGCTTGTATTTTACCATAATGCAGCAGTCCATGGTGGTTCCCTCCACGCCCCTCCACACCACCCGGGTCCTCACTGAAGACAGAGAGATGTGGGAGGATGTGAAGGTCAGAGGAGCAACACTGCCCCCCTGTGGCCACATGCTGCCATTACAACCCGTTGCCCATAGGTCACCAAATGCTTAGGTTTGGCCGTCATTAGCGGTCAGTCTGAGGGGCAGTGACTGAACTGTCCCAGCGTTCAGCCTAGCGTGCAGCCAATACAAAAAAAATTGAGTACTTTATTTTACAGACTACAAGACATGCTAAATCTATGGCACACTCGTTGCAGCGATCTCTCTTTAAATCATTAGCGGTCAGTCTGAGGGGCAGTGACTGAACTGTCCCAGCGTTCAGCCTAGCGTGCAGCCTATACAAAAAAAAAATGGAGTACTTTATTTTACAGACTACAAGACAATCTAAATCTATGGCACACTCGTTGCAGCGATCTCTCTTTAAAACTTTATTTACAACCTTTGATATTCTGAATGTGTTAATCTGATATACCTACATATAGAACTTTAAATCACTCCCCCAGAAGCACAGTGAACATATTGGTGCCCTTTATGAAAACAAAAAGTAATTTAAATTGATAAATTAACCTCATCCTATACCTTAATACATGATTTTGGATTTTAATTTCTCTCATCTGCCACCAGGGGGAAGAAGTGGTCACAGGGAGTAATATGAGTTAGTCCTGTTTAACATTTAACAGGCATGCCTGGACACAAAAGAGCTCAGCCGTCCTAAGCCTTTGCTACCATGTCTTACTCTCTGATGTCCATACAAAGAAAGAAAGAAAGGCATTGTTCCCTCACACCATGTGATTTTGAGGTTGATTCCACCAGTATTGTAAGATGCATGTCTCCATTGGGCAATGACATTTCTTTTTCCAGCAGTTGTCATTTATTTGACAACAAATGAATGTGCAAGTCTGAAGTGATAAGGCCTGAAAAGGCCATTCTTCAAAATGATACGCACACAATACGCCATGCTCTGTTCCACAGCAACAGAAAAAGCGGCTAAGCTCAGTATGAGATTTTACAAGCTGCACAAAGAGGATAAATATAGTAGTTTTTTCTATATAGGCTGCTTGAAACCCCCCCTGACCAATAAAAAATTCCTCTCTGCCCTGTTTTTGGCTCCAGCACCTCCTGACCTCAGCTACTAGAGACTTGACCTTTCACCCATCTCCTAAAAATGTTTTGAGACTGATTTGTCCACCGCCTGTCAACCATTGCTCATTTTTCTCCCTCACAAATCATTTAGTGACAAATTTAGGATTAAAAAGAACAGTTTGATGTTTGGGGTTGTTGGTACATTTGCGTTGCTGTTATATTTGGTCAATAAATCCTCATAAATCCAACTGAAAATATTGCAAAAAGGACATTCTAAGTTACTTTGGTGATGTCTGTCCCAGTAGGAAGTTGCCCGTTAGCTGTCCCCTTTAGTGAAAAGCTTTGCACTTATCTCTTGGTAAAAAGATGCCAAATACATTCCCTGTTTGTTGGTAACAGAAAAGAAATTACATCTAATTTATTTAACTCTGAAAACATTTTTAGATAACTTAGATTTTACTGATGAAAACTAGCAGGTCCCAGTTTCTATGTAGTATGTCACACAAAGCCAGATGGCTGCCACCTTTAGCTACAAATTTAACATTCCTGTGGGATAATACATTTTCCTTTTTGTTTTTTGTTTTTTGTAAGAAACTAAATAAATATTTCTATTCTCCTAAAGTACCAGCTGAGATTTGATGGCATCTGTGATTGAGACTGAATCATCTGTCTTGTTTTTCCCGCAGGAGGAAATGACCAGTGCTTTAGCGACCATGCGCGTAGACTACGACCAGGTGAAGATCAAAGATCTGGACACATCCAGCAACCCTCTGCTCAACAAAAGACGCAAGAAAGCTGCTGCAGGGGGCAAGAGTGGGTCTACTGTCTGCCAGAGTCAGTGAGGCAAAAAAGATCTGTGGAGAAAAAAAAATCCAAGCCGAACAACATCAGAGGACAGCAGCACAGAGTAGGGAAAAAAAGTTCATATGTGTATGAGGAAGTTATTTAAAGAGCTGCTTGGAACTCTTGCCAGACTGAATGTTAAAGGAAAAAATGTTGCCATGAAAAGGACAACACAGGAACACCAGTATGAAAGCTGGACAGCTGAATGACATGTTGAGATGTGGTATCATCTGTTGCTCACTGAAGGCTCATCTGTTTTTAAATCTTTTTATGTATGTCCTTTGTAGAGCTTGCGTGTTTATAAGTGTCTGTATTCAGACATTAGGTACTTTTTGTGGTCATGTTTCATGTATTTCAATGCTGGATTGCCTGTTTTTTCCTCATATGCAACTATGCACTAGTATGCAGACACACACACACAAATACAGAGAAAGAAGCCAAATGTGGACAGACTGTGAAACACTTGTGTTGTCTTAATGTTGTCTATATTTTTCTGCCTTTCTTTTAGGGTTCAAACTCGGTTTCACACCGACTGTCTTGTTAACACAATGTGGCCTCCGTATTGACCTATGAGTCAATGATTCAACCTTTTCTTTTCTCTATAAAGCGACAATAAAATGACATCATGCTTACAATCAAGTTAACTATTTTACACCGTTTGATGTGTGGAGAAGCAGCACCACAGTTTTGTGTAAGCTGTAGTGAGGAAACAGCAGGTTGTGCTACATGGATAAGTTGTGACATTTCAATTGAGAAATGTCTCCTTTGTACACGAGTTGGTTTATGGCGGTTAATTGTAGCGTTTCCAGTAAATATAGAAGGTGACAATGCAGCCCCTAATTAGGAACACCTCTTTTGTAAGGGACCCACTACTTACCCACTCCAACTAAACTCAGCATTCATGTTATGTAGAACTGAACTTCAAGCAAAACAGGAGCTTTCGGTGCAAGATGTTTTCTGTTTGGACCCAGGACCCATTGCCTTCATAAATGGGCTTTATTAGGCTAGTATGGATAGCAGCTGTGAGTTTTTTTTGGGACATGCCATTTGACTCCAAAACGCCAACTCTATTATGTTTAGATTATATGAAAAGAATGTCTCCCTCTCTTTGATGACATGATCCAGCAGAATTTGGGGTACGGGATTGAAGAGTTTAAAAACTACTTCAAGCCATGGCTGGAAATGTAGACTGTTTACCACCATTATTAGACTTTTAAATTTTACACAGATGCTCTTGGTGTAAAACAATTAAAAATAAATTCTTTAGAGTTCTTTGTGTCATGGAAATGTACTGTATGTGGAAATTGTGTTTATTACCTCATACAGTGCCAGCTACGAGGATTTATCATTCGAGAGATTTCATGGAAACAAGCCCTGTCATGATTACTCCACTTCTTTACCACAACCGAACTGCTGACGTGATGTAATGGGCTGGTATACTTCTTATTAAGGTAAGGCATGAACAAAAAGAAAACGTTTCAAAATGTGCCGAAATACAAGATGCAGATAAAACCCATCCCCCCCACCAGCCCTGCTTCCTGACGTGGTTTGGGTTGATCTTTATTGTCATGCTAAGTGGGAGCATTTAAAAAGTTTTGTGTGACAGTAGGACTGGCAGCAAAGCTCATGGAGACCAGCCCGGGCAGTGTTTGGCACACAGGGGTTGAGTTTTGGGCGTGTGCTGGACAGGGAGTGTATCAGAAGGGCGGGCCAGAGGAGTTTGCCCTTTTGGGAAGAATGTGTTAAGGGTCAGAGTCGAGCTCCAAGACCCCAAACTGTGACTTGCCCTTTCCGTCATGCACGGCCTGTCTTTTCTGAACTCCTCTCGGCCCCGTTTGGTTTGTGTGGGTGTGCAGTTTCTGTCTTTCCCTGGTCTTTTCTTTGTGTTCCTGTGTGACTGTCTTATTAATTCACAGGGTCCTTGCTTGACAATTAGTAGAATTATTGTGGGTTGCTGGTAAACATACGGCTCTGAAATAGACTCAATTACTCATAGACGGGTCACATGATGCTCATATTATCACCAGAAGATTGTGTGTGTGTGTGCGTGAGCAATTTGGAGCATGTTTTTGGTTTTTCTGGATAAACCAGATCCACCATGTTTCATGTCTCCTGTACTACATGCAATCGCAGCAGAGCACAGTCATCCAGGCAGTTAGCATTTATAATACCTATAGTAGAAAGTCTGTTTTCACACTGCAATTGTAGAATTCTCATTCATTAATGTAAACAAAAAGTAATCTGTCCTTGGTGACAGACACAACAGAGAAATCTGTCCATCGGACGATATTGTTCCTGGAAAACCTTTTCAACTCCTCCAGATATAAAGCCAGTCTTGATCCAACCCTTATGTCTTCATGGAGCCAGTGTAATCTTTCAAAATATCCTAGAGCAATAGTTCCCTGAGCCTTCCGAAGGTCTTTTATTATTATTTTTCCTCATATCAAGTCAAAAGTGCTTGTACCTGTATGTGATTTCAGTTTAAAAAACACCAAACACAAGTGTTAAACCTGAGTTCTGTCAACTGAAAACAGAAATTTGTCAAATATCTGTTTCAAATGTCGAAGTCGGTAGACTTCTGTTGTGTTTAAATTACAGTATGTCTTTCCACCAACCTTTGTTGTTTTTGTTTCTTTAGTTGAATCTTTGAAAACACAATAACGGATCAATAAAATTACGCTTTGACAAAGATAAAATTTCATTTTTTTTAACAACGAAGAGATTTTAGCTTGAAACTAACATCTGGACATGGTGTGTGAACTATAGAAATAGAACAGAAAAATACTTGATTCATCCTCCTGTGAGTGAGTATATCTGTAAAAAGAAAATGAAAAAATGGGGAAAATCCAACTACCAAAGCGCTGACAGGCCCACTGTTTGCTGAAACCTCATCAGTATCTATCATGTCCAATGGAAAGCTAGCTGAGAGCAGCTATTTTCAAGATTTAAACTGACAGAAAAGGCTGAGTTATGTCCAGTGGCTCAAAAAGTAGAGCGAAAACCAGTGCGAACCATTATGATGGAAGGATAAAAACTCCCCAGTGTTGAAAAATAAAGATGCTCAGACCAAACACTGACTTTTAAGATAGTTGAAACTGTATAAACTCTGCATTTTAGGCTAAACTGATGATTTATATTTACAATCAACATTTTATTTAAGATACCATTTCCTCTCAGTTTGACATAGTCTTCTTTTTTTGGAAGTTGACTGTCGATGGTTACCTGGGAAATACGATTTTGAAGTGTTCCTGGAAAGCCCCCCTTCCTGTTGTCATTATTCTAACGAACCAAGTGCTATATTCTGTATTGTTTTTGGCAGAGTCCTGATAGCCCTCACCTCCCCTGGGCTGCTGGACGGTGGGTGTGTTGGAGGAGGGTCCAGGGGGACAGGTAAGCTCTCTATTTCACCACATCCATTTTTTTAAAAACACTTCCTACCGACTCAAAGGTCCGACACACACACACGCACACACACAGACAGAGAAAGAGACACACGTACACACACACGCACACACACTCACACACGCACGCGCGCGCAGGGGGTGTGTACAGCGAGCATCACCAGGCTGCTCCCGGACGCACGTACACACCGTCGGGGACTGCGCTCCATCCGAAAGGCGCACGATGAGAGGCTGCTCCAGCCGACCCAAGATCCCACAGCTCCAAGGCAAGGCGGGTAAGAGAGGCTGCCATGGCTCCGGGTTCGGAACCGTGCTCGTTTTTTTAGCCGGATGTTAGGGAACAAAAACAAAACAACAACAAAAAAGCAAAAAAAGAGCCAGCCCTTTGAGGCGTAAACAAGACTCGATGCGCTCGTCGCCCGTCACCTTTAGCCCACATAACGACCACAGACGGCCAACCGAGGCTGTTTATAGTAAGCAGCATCATTCCCAGCAGCGGTTGTGCTGGAACACAGAGGATGAGGGGGCAGAGGGAGGGAGGGTGGGGGGGCACGTCGATGATAATCAACAGTTAAAAGAGGGTCATGTCTCGGCGTAAGAGTGCGGCTCATGGCCGGCTTCCTCTTCTTTTAAGGGGGGGCTGGAACTGTTGTTGTCCTCCGTACGGACACACCGATGGAGACCGATGGTGTTTATTCTTATTTTTATTGCTGTTTGGATGTGGTTATTGCCGTGATGTAACGCGCCACGGTTGTGTCGGATTGAACGCTGATCTCGTGTTCCGTTGCCCCCAAACGCACCCCCCTCCCCTCTCACCATAAATGCCGATTCACAGAGAAGTATAGTGTTATCAGACACTTCTATATTGGGAAGTGACTTGTCCAGGCTAAAGGCAGCTAGCTGCAATCAGAGCCTGGCAGCTGTTGGCAGGAGGAGGAGGAGGAGGAAGAGGAGGAGGAGGAGGAGGAGGAGGAGCTCAGTCCTGCTTCCTGTTCGAGTTCTGGCGTGAAGTATTTAAGGCATTAAAGTTTCCCTGTTTTGTACGAGGCCGATCATCTGAATTCCCCTCATACAAAGCAGACAGGACGAGCTGTCTGCAAGAGTCCTGCTTTGTGTTTTGGTCCAACCGGTTCTATTCAGGTTACATTATCTGATTTGGACATCAAATGACAGATAACCAGACACCCTATACAGCTGACATACGGGGTCACAAACAGAGTGCTGACATTTACCCTGCTAAAAATGGGAAAACGTATCCTGAGCATGACATACTGGGCCTTTGTGTGTGTGTGTGTGTGTCTGTGCGCATGTGTGGACCTGATGAACCTGACAAGTATAACAGTATACGAGCAGTGAGGGAATTCGAGAGTAGAAGCTATTAAATTAGAAAAACCTCCATTTCACCAAATGTAGGTCACAGGCCTTGTCGCTCCATCACCAAGACGGACCCCGAGCTTAATATAATCAGTGCATCCGCTAATGAACAAACAGATGAACGCGTAGGCCCACTAACCTGGATTCTTGTGTGTTTGAAAGATTCTAGGCACACCTGTCCAACGGGAAGTATATATCACTGACAGCCTTGCAGAAAGCGTGCCGCTGTTAAGCTTCAGATGTTTTTGTTGGCAGTTTGGGATGCCTCTGGCTGTTTCTGATGAATGCTGTTGCTAAAGAGGGAAAAAAATGTAACAATATTTACGTTAAAAAGTGCCTAAAACATAACTAATGGAAACAAAAAAGGGGATCCTAAGCACTAGACAAGCATGAAATAAATTATTGCATGCTAATTTGCAAGTCTGGGGTCAACAGACATGCAAAGAGGAGAGGAATGCAATACTGCCATCTCTTGGACTTAGAGTTTAAAGGGTAATAAAAGTCTAAACATAATTTCAAAAGTACTACACAAAAAGCTGGTTAATATAACCTTTTTTGTTTGTGGCAGAACAATTAAGTTTTTTTGCTTCATGAGTGCCTTTTTCACACAGACTTACATCTTTTTACTCGTTAAATTTCTCAATTCTAATGATAGTCAGCCAGCAAGAAAAAAAAAAGAAACATATGTAGTTAGATGAAATAGTCATATTCAGAGTTAATATTTAAGCCTGTGGTTTTCTTCTGCTCTATTATACTGCTTGTTATATTTGGTTAATTTTCAAACCAGTAAGGAGCATGTTTGTATTGTATTCCATACACACATGACACACTGCATCCACTAAAATATGGCCACATTTTTTAAAATGATAATGATCTTTTCTCTGTTGGCATTATTTCACCAAGGCCACCTGAGATTTATTTGGTTACATTTAACAGAAATTCCACTGCGGCACGCATGACTATTGTGGCATCTGGCCTAAAGCTATATCTTGAAACCACATTGCTAAGATAACATTATGCCAACGGCAATTCAGTAGTTCTGCAATCTAGGGAACGTGGTTTCTTAAATTGTCTGTGCACACGAACACTGAGTTGCAGAGTTGCTACATTTTCACCTCTGACCGTTTTATATGGCGACATAGAAAAAAGGAGAACTGATTACTTTCACACATTTCCCCCTACATTGGAAGGTGCTTATTGCTTCATAAATGTAGCTGGATAGCAGGCAGGTGATCCTGATCAAAATTGTCCCGACTGCTTATTCCCAAGGGGTCGTGGGGGGGCTGGAGCATATCCCAGCTGACAACTGGTGAGAGTCGGGTTCACCCTGGATAGATCACCAGTCCATCACAGGACCACACAAACACAATCAACCACACACACATTCACTCCATTCACTCCACAGGGCAATTTGGAGTGTCCATTAAACTTAACATGCAAGTTTTTGGACAGTGGGAGGAAGCAGGAGTATTGTTCAAATATACCATAATTAATTGTCATTGGCAAATGTGAGCTCCCCCATATAAATAGAGTTTGGTGTTCTAGAGTATTAAAGTGTGTCCTATCGTAAAGCCAAGGAGGGAAAACATCAGCACATGCTTTATGGATTGTTAGTCTTCTTTAAATTTCTAATCTATTTTACAGGAGGATGTTGTAAAACAGCACACACACTTATTGACAGATAAAGCTTTGCTGAACCTCAGTCGTACTACAGGACACTGATCCCAAACACAGCAGCATACATACATACATACATACATACATACATACATACATACATACAT